ATTCCATTTGTATGAACTATCCACAATAAAGACAGAAAAGAAAATGATTGTCTAGGACTCAGGGTACTGGGAGAACATGGGCCATGAAGGAAGCAGGGCAAAAATGACTCCTATAAACACAGCATGTCTTTTTAGGGTGAAGAAAATATTTGAAGTTGATTGTGGGTATAGTCATGCCCTTCCACTCATGCTAGCAAAACCCAATAAAATCAATTTAAACCAATGAATTGGACGGTGCAAGGTATTGATAACATCTTAATGAAGTTTGTACGTAGGATCAGCAGGATTGCTCAGTGGGTAAGAGCCATGACGTCTGGCATAATGACCTGAATTGGATCTCCAGCTCTATGTGGTAGAAGAGAACTGAGCTCCCCAAGGAGTCCTCTGGCCTCCATGTGTGCACTGTGGTGCTCTGGCCTCCCTGCTCCCACCAAAATAAACAAATGTATGTAATTTTGTGACTTGTATGCATATAGCATATATATTGACTATCAGATAACTATAGGGATTTATTTTATTTATTTATTTAGTATACAATATTCTGTCTGTATGCCTGAAGGCCAGAAGAGGGCGCCAGACCTCTTTACAGATGGTTGTGAGCCACCATGTGGTTGCTGGGAATTGAGAGGAGATATGCAGGGCTGGGTCTGGGGACATTTTAATTAGGATGATGTTAGGACTCACTGAGAAGATTTTTCTGAGTCAGGTGGACATCTAGGGGAAGAGCTTGCTGGCCTGCCTGGGTTTATATCTGGACTTCATCCTTAGTGTACCTGATCCTGAAAGAGTTTTCTATATTTATAGAATAAGGGCAACAATTACTACCTATTTCAAAAGGTTAATGTGTGGATCAAATTTTATATACATATTTGGTTTTCCAAGACAGGGTTTCTCTGTGTAGCTTTGGAGCCTATCCTGGAATTTGCTTTGTAGACCAGGATAGACTTGCACTCACAGAGATTCGCCTGCCTCTGCCTTCCAAGTGCTGGGATTAAAGGCGTGCACCACCATCGCTCAGCTCAAATCATTTTATTTATTTATTTATTATGCATACAATATTCTGTCTGTGTGTACGTCTGCAGGCCAGAAGAGGGCACCAGACCTCATTACAGATGGTTGGGAGCCACCATGTGGTTGCCGGGAATTGAACTCAGGACCTCTGGAAGAGCAGACACTGCTCTTAACCACTGAGCCATCTCTCCAGCCCCCCATTTTTTTTTTAAAGACAGGGTTTCTCTACATAGCCCTGATTGTCTTGGAACTTGATATGTAGACTAGGGTGGTCTCAAACTCACAGAAATATGCCTACCTCTATCTCTGGGGAGGTAGAGATAGAGGTACCACCTTTCACAGGTCCCAGGTGGTTTTTTAAAATATAGTTTCAGAGTTGAGGGTAGACACACAGTTTTAATCACAGCACTCGGGAGGCAGAGGCAGGTGGATCTCTGTCATTTCTTGTCCAACCTGGTCTACATAGTGAGTTCCAAGACAGTCAGAGTTACATAATGAGACCCTGTCTCAAAAACAAAACAACAAACCACTGCTTTTATTACATTTCCTCATTTATTCATGTATGTGTGTGTGTGCGCACTTGCACGTGCTAGCGTGGGCCACTATGTGCACATGGAGGTCAGAGGACAACTTGCGGGAGTCAGTTCTTTCCTCCCACGGTGCGGTCCCAAGGATCAAACTCAGATGGTCAGACATGGTGGTCAGTGTCTCTATGTGCTAACTCATCATGTCCACTCACATCAAGTGATTTCTTTCTTTCTTTTTTTTTTTTTTGGTTTTTTCGAGACAGGGTTTCTCTGTGGTTTTAGAGCCTGTCCTGGAACTAGCTCTTGTAGACCAGGCTGGTCTCGAACTCACAGAGATCCACCTGCCTCTGCCTCCCGAGTGCTGGGATTAAAGGCATGCGCCACCATCGCCCGGCCACATCAAGTGATTTCTAAAAGAAAGAGTTGGAGAGATGGCTTAGAGGTTAACAGCCCTGGTTGCTCTTCAAGAGCACTGGGTTTGGTTCCCAGCACCCACATGGTAGCTGACAACTCTCTGTAACTCCAATCCCAGGGGGTCTGATGTCCTCTTCTGACCTCCAAGGTCACCAGGCATGTGGAAATACATGGTAGTTTGCTTTGGGCCCCATAAGCTCATAGAGAGTGGCACTATTGGGAGGTGTGGCCTTTTTGGAGGAGACTGGAGGACACAAGCCTTTAATCCAGACCTTGAGGTTAGAGGGAACACCTTTTTCTGTTGGAGATGTGTCACTGTAGGGGTGGGCTTTGAGGTCTTTTTCTCAAGCTTCCCTCAGTGTGGCAATCAGTCAACTTCCTTTTGCCTCTGAGTCAAGATGGAGGACTCTCAACTCAGCTCCAGCGCCACGTCTGCCTGCAGGCTGCCATGCTCCCCAGCATCCTTGATGATTCTGGAGTAAACCTCTGAAACTGTAAGTGGGCCACCTCCGTTAAATGTTCTCTTTTATAAGAGTTGCCATGGTCACGGTGTCTCTTCACAGCAATAGAAAACCCTAAGACACATACACACAGGAACAAAATGCTCATATTCATAAAACGAATGCTAAAAATGCTACATGATTAAAAGGAAAAAACAGTTCAGTGCATCAAGTTGGTTTGCTTGAGATAGAGTCTCATTCTGGAACCCGAGATCATTCTTGAACTCTTGCTTCTGTCTCCTGAATACTGCTATTGCATGCATGAGCCATCTGCCCAGCTAAAATTCTTTATAGCTATGTCCATTAGTTCCTACTAAGATAACCGTTGTCTGCGAAGATGAAATTGTATATGGGATGTGGGTGAAACAAGGAGGCCAACTGGGGCTGACTCAGACGAAAGAAGAGGAAGAATTGGAGAGGCAGAGGGTTGGCTGTGGCTTTTACTCTGAGATGGAAAATCAAAGGATGTTTTGGAGCAGAAAAAGGCAAGATCTGATTCGTGTTTTAACAGCATCCCTGTAGGCTCTGTGCTGGAAATACAGTCCTTTCTGCATATCCAGTGGCAGACTGGATCCAGGGTCCTCCCAGGCCCCAATCTGTGGGTGATTGAGTCTTTTCCCTGTTCTGCTTTTTCTCCTGCTCCTCTGCCTCCTTGCTTTTTGTTTTTGAGACAGGGTCTTACTGTGTAATTCTGGCCTGACACTCACTATATAGACCAGGCTGCCCTTGAGCTCACAGGTATCTTCGTGTCTCTGCCTCCTGAGTGCTGGCATTACCACACCTGTCTCATGGATCTCAGGTTGTCTCAGACTCAACATGGAGCTGGGGATGATTTTGAATTTCTGATTCTCCTGCCTTCACCTGTGTGTACCAGGTTTATGAGGTGCTGAGAACGGAGCCCAGAGGTTCAAGCATACTAGGCAAGGACTCTATCAACCAAGCTACTCCTGTTATCCCTCAAGGATGCTATAGAAACAGGCTCTGAGTGTAGTAATACACGTGAGAGATCCTAGTGATGGTGGTGGTAAGAACCACATCCTGGTTTTACTTAATGGCAGATCCTCAATAGGCAGTGTTTGAGGATTGATGCGGGATGGGAGAAAGAGGCTGGGGATTGAGCAGAGCAATTGCTAGAATTCCACTTCTATTTGTTGAGATGAAAGAAGTCTAAGGTGAGCCTCGTGTGTGTAACAGGGACAGTGTAGAAGGGAGGCACACTGGTCTGGGGAATGGGATTTGACCTTTGACATGATAAAATATCTGTGACACATCCAAGTGGACTGGTGCTGGGCTGGAAGGGGTGCACAATTGGTTTTTCTGGGCCAGGTTCCGTGCTAGGCTGTGGCAAGACCGGTGAGAATCTAGGCTAGCTCCTAAGGAGCTCCCTTTCTGCTGTGGTACATGAAATAAATTTTCAAACAAGGTCATTATGAAAGATCTTTTGCTCACCATGTGGGACACAATGTACAATGGGCACTTTTATTTTTTATTTTTGGGTAGTATTAATAATTTGATTTTATACAACTACAAACCTTTTACATTAGTAGAAGGTATTTGAATGCAAATCAATGCACGCAGGATAGATTAGTTTCACTCTTTCAGCAAACGCTTTACTAGCATTTCCGAGATGGGACATAAAGAGAAAATATATCTAAAGCCTCTAGCTTCGAGCTACTTACAGTGGCCTCTGTATCTCAGTGTAGTTTGATGTGATATCACATGCATTTGAATGCAGGATTATATAAGGTAAAAGAGGCATAGCTAGGAAACTGGATTAGTTTAGAATAGAGGCATCTCTTAAAAACTTCAGGGCCAGCTCGATTGCTCAGTGGGTAGAGGCACTTGCCACTAAGCCTGACTTTAGTTCCATTGGTGAGAGCCACACACTGGAAGAAGAAACTAACTCTTGAAAACTTGTCCTCTGATCTCCACATGTCTGAGTCATGGCATATGAGTGTTGGAGCACACACTCACAGAAATATAAAACTTCAATGAAATGATAAGGGATTATCATATATTAGCAATATCTGTGCAACGATGATCTACATTATCCTAAGAAATGGGTCTTTCCTACTCAGCATCTTTGAGAAATACAGAACATTTTACTAACATTCATGGCCAATTGTGTGATGTATTGAGGAACATTTTGTTGTTTGTTTTTCGAGACAGGGTTTCTCTATAGCTTGGGAGCCTATCCTGGAACTCGCTCTTGTAGACAAGGCTGGCCTCAAACTCACTGAGATGCGCCTGTCTCTGGTTCCCAAGTGTTGGGGTTAAAAGTGTGCACCACCACCGGCACTCTCCTGTAACTTTTACTATTTGAGATAGTGCCAGCGCCAGAAGGCCCTCGCGATCTCAGCTGGCCAGGCGTCCCCACTGCTTCAGCAGGACCCAGCTTCGCATCCCAGAGGAAGGGCACAGCTGCGCAGGCGCCGCCTCAGTCTGGCGTCCGTAGAGATGGACGCGAAAGTCCTGCGCACGCGTACTTTAAGAAGCCGAGGGCACCCGAGATTGGGCGGGGCGAGCTCAGAGTGCGCGTGCGCACTGCCCTCTGTCGCTGAGTGAGCCGCAGTCTCTACAGCACCAAGGTGTTTCGGTCGCCCACGGCCACCCTCGCCCGCAAACCCGGTGTTGTTGGGCTGCATCCCGAGCGGGGACGTTGGTGGAGCACGGGAAGCGGCCACCATGCCGGTGAGGACGGCCACTCGACCGCTGGGGTTCCCACTCATCGTGGCGGCCCTGCTCGGGGGCGCGGCCGTTGCCATAGAAGCGCGCGGCGGGCGGGCGGGGCAGGGCGGCGGGGCCGCGAGGCCTGGGCAGGGAAGGGCGGCGGGGCCGGGGTCCTGCTCGCACGGATCTCCCCTGGGACCCGTCCTGTTGCCCCACTGCGCGCTGCATCCCGTCGGGCTCGCGCTGCCTGACAGAAAAGCGCCGCGCGGCTGCCGGGGCTTGGTGGTTGCGCGCGGCCGCGAGGGTCGTGCGGATGCCCGCGACCCGAGTCCACTCTCTGTCCCTGGGTGTAAGCTGACAGACTTGCGCTGGTCGGGCGCTTTAGCTTATGTGCAAAATGTAACCCGTAGGTGTCTTTGTGTGAGTATGCGGTGGCGATTTGGTTACCTTCTAAAATTTCACCGATTGTTATCGTGCCATAATATGGGGGTGGTTGTCAGTCTCATTGGAGAATACTTGAGCAGTGGAATTGTATTTATCGGTTATGAGGCCTCTGACGGCTCTTCAAATTGTCTGGACCCTTAGTTCCCACACAAATTTATTGTGGTTTTTATCAGGACACTGGAAGGACAAGGCTTGACATTCAGCACAAAATGCTCAATGCTTGTTTCTGTTTATTGCTTTCACAGTATGCAGTCAATAAATCCTGGGCACCACCCGTGTATATGCTAATCATGTAGATGGTAGGGTTCGTTGAGCAAAACTTGCCAGGCATTTTTTAAAAATTTAATTTTATGTTATATGTATGAGTGCTTGCCTGCATGCGTGCATGTGCACCACCTGCCAGAGGAAGGCAGAAGAGGGCGTGGGCCTGTTTTGGAACTGTAGCTATAAGCAGTGGAGAGCCACTGTCTGGGTGCTGGAAACCCAACCCAGGTCCTCTGCAAGAGCTAATAAGTGCTCTTAACCACTGAGCCGTCTCTCCAGCCTCATTTGCCAAGTTTTTGACTTTGGAGAAAGAGAAGCTTGCCTTTTGAGGCAGAAGTGAAAACCATACACACTAACAGAGAAAAGACAGTTTGAATAAATGAAGTGAGCGGCATATGATAGAGACAGACTCTGGTGAATTGGAAACTGTTGCCATAAAGGAATGCTGGCCACAGATATCTGTAGCACTGTTCATAAAAACCCAGAGACAGATATTGGTGTTCAACCTGAAGGTCAGAAAAGCAAAACTGCCAAGGATTGGCTCTTACCTCTACCTCAGTCCGAAATGGCGATCCTGGCCTCCAGGAGTCCTCAGAATGAGACTGAGATTGAGAACTGTCTCCTCCCGTTTTATATTCCTCTCTAGCTCTGGGATTAAAGGCGTGCACCACTACTGCCTGGTTTCTGTGGCAAACTAGTGTGGCTACTGGGATTAAAGGTTTGTGCCATTAGCACTCGGGAGGCAGAGGCAGGCGGATCTCTGTGAGTTCGAGGCCAGCCTGGTCTACAAGAGCTAGTTCCAGGACAGGAACCAAAAACTACGGAGAAACCCTGTCTCGAAAAAAATTTTTTTTTTTTGATTTTTCGAGACAGGGTTTCTCCGTAGCTTTTTTGGTTCCTGTCCTGGAACTAGCTTTAGTAGTCCAGGCTGGCCTCGAACTCACAGAGATCCGCCTGCCTCTGCCTCCCGAGTGCTGGGATTAAAGGTGTGCACCACCACTGCCTGGCTCCCTGTCTCGAAAATTAAAAAAAAAATGGTTTGTGCCATCACTGCCTGGCCTGTAAGGCTGACCAGTGGGGCTGTTTTACTCTCTGATCTTCAGGTAAGCTTTAATTATTAAAATACAAATGAAATATCACTACAGATATCAGATCTACTTTTGTTTTCAAAAGACTTAAATTGCAGCTTGTCATTGGTGGCGCATGACACCACGCACGTGCCAGCAGAGGCAGGCTGGTCTCTGAGTTCGAGACCAGGCTAGTCTACAAATCGATCCCAGGACTGCCAGATCTGTTAGACAGAGATACCCTGTCTTGAAATACAAACACAAAAATAATCCAAGGCTGGCTATCCCTTGCTTTATAGTGAGTTCTAGGCTTCCCTGTGCTTCATGAGACCCTATATCAGAACAACAACAACAAAAAAAAACCTTTGAGCCAAATAAAAGAATTTTATGGACTGAATTCAGTCCCTTGACAGCTTGTTTGGAACTCAAGTGAAGGTAGAATGACAGACATCAGTCAAGGGGCAAACAAGAGTAAAACTGTCCTTCAAAAGCAGGATGTGCTGTCTATTTAAATTATATATAAAAAAAGCGTTTGACCTAGTGAGAGAAGTATTCCCAGAGGAAGTGGCTGTTGAGCTGGACACTGAAGGAGGAATAGATATTATCTGAGTGAAGAAGAACTCCAGGGAAGGACCCTGGAGCCTAGGGCGTTGTGGCTGAGGGGAGGCCTTTCTAGATGACCTTGACATTGTTTATTTTGGGCTTGTCACCTGTGGGAGAGTTTTCCGGTGGGAGTGTCCTGATTTGTGTTTGAGGACGTACTGAAGGACAGTTTAATCAGGTGCAGGAACACAATTAGGAGACAGCAGTGCAGGGCCCAGGTGATGTGACTTGGCCTAGGGTGGTGAAGGCTGAGCTGGAGAGAAGCATATTGACAGTAATAGCATTGTTTTGAGTTAGTTCCTTAGTCATGGAAAATTTTGAAAATCAAAACTTGATACAAACATTCATATGACATTTCCCCCTGTGTGTCATTGGCCTTTTCTGTCCTTATTGTTGTCTTCTGTAGAGAAGGTAAGTCACGTATGGATTTTTGCTAAGATAAAAATTTTACAAATGCATTCTAGAAAATGAAACTATATTTCATTTTCCTGGGGGAGCAGAGGACCTCATACATTGTGGGTTTGTTTTGAAACAGGGTCTCACCATATGATATAGGCCAATCTCAAACTACCTGCCTCTGCCTCCCGGAGTGCTGAGATCACATTCAGGGTGCTGAGGTGAAAAAGTAACTTTTTTTCAGTTATAAATTTAGGGTAAAATGAATGTTCTTCTTACTCTTTGTAAACATTGTCTCTACCAGATCAATAAATCCGAGAAGCCAGAAAGCTGCGATAATGTGAAGGTTGTTGTTAGGTGCCGGCCCCTCAATGAGAGAGAGAAATCAATGTGCTACAGACAGGCCGTCAGCGTGGATGAGATGAGGGGAACCATCACCGTCCATAAGACCGATTCTTCCAATGAACCTCCAAAGACATTTACTTTTGATACTGTTTTTGGACCAGAAAGTAAACAACTTGATGTGTATAACTTAACTGCAAGACCTATTATTGACTCTGTTCTGGAAGGCTACAATGGTGAGTGGTGTGCAGCTCGCTTTATTGTTGTGAAGTAACACCCAGTAAGATGAGTGGTTTACCTGTTGCAGCTACAGCATGGTGAGTGACAGTAAACATATGCAGCGGTGCGGCCCACCACGTGATGTCATTTTAGACCCCAGCGTTGTCCTCAACATTCCTTTCCACTGGTTTTGCAACCTCCCACCCTGCATCCTTTGGTCTGCCCTCATGTCACAATAGTTTTGTCTTTTTGAAATTCCATTTAAGACATCTTAAAATGCCATCTCTTTATTTTTAAAAATTTATTTTCAGTTTATATGTATGTGTATTTCACCAATGTGTAGGCACCAAGTGTGTGCTTGTGTCACGTGTGTGCAGTGCTCATGGAAGACAGAAGAAGACAGTCAGTCCTGGGACTGGAGTTCAAGATGGTTGTGAGCCATGTCTGGGTGCTGAGAGTCCAACCTGGGCCCAGACAGGTTTCTCTGTGTAGCAGCGCTGGACAGCCAGTTTGTAGACTAGGCTGGCCTCTAACCCACAATTCTGCCTATCCCTTTTCTCCTGAATGCTGGGGTTACAGACATGGGCCACCACCACCCGGCTAAAGTACTTTCTTTTTTATAATACCATTTTCTTTCTTTTTGTGTAATGTTTTTGAAGTTTACCTGTCTTTGCATATTATCAGTTCTTTGTGCTTAATGAGAAAAAGATTTATTTTTTTATTTTATGTGTATGAGTGAGTGTTTGCCCGTATGTATGTGCACCATGTGCATGCCTGGTATTCTCAGAGGCCATCAGATCTGTGAGCCACCATGCTAGTTCTAGGAATCAAACCTAGGTCCTCTGGAAGAGCAGCAAGGACTTTAACCACTGAGCCATCTCTCCACCCCCTACTTATATGTGTTTGGTTGGTTGGTTTTCCCCTTTGTATTTTCATGTAGATTTTATAACCATTTTATCTGTTTCCATAAAATAGATTTTGGTCACAATTGTGTTGAATTACTGTATTGACACTATTGAGTCTTCTGTTTATGTCTTGCTTAATTAACCCTTTCACTTCTGATAGTTTTTATGTTATTCTTACAAACTTAAAAAATTACATTTACTTATTTATATGAGGCCATATGAAGGTGTAAGTCACAAACAATGCCACACTAGTTTAGAATTATGATTAATAGGGTGGTATTTATTTAAAGGGGAAAAACTTACAGATCACTGTCCCAGGCAACAGCCCTCTACACAACCAGGAAGGGAGTTGCCTGCTGAGCAGGAAGTGAAGAGAGAGAGGAGAGGGAAGTGGCCGCTTTTTTAAGGGGAGAGAGACCACGCCCCAATGGGCTGGTATCTCAGCAGCTATAGGCTGGAGGAGTGGGAGGACCTCCCGCAACAGCCATATGTACCATGGCCATGAGTATATAGCAACCAGAAGACAACTTGGAGGAATCATTTCTTGCTTTCACCATGGGTATCACAAGCATCAAACTTAGTTGTCAGGTTTGGTGGCAAGTGTCTTACCCACTCAGCCTCTCTCATGCATTCTATTGTAAATAGAATCGTTTGCATAATTTCATTTTGAGATTAAGTATTGTTAATATCCAGAAATGTGACAGGCCGTGGTGGTGCACACCTTTAACCCCAGCACTCAAGAGGCCGTGGCAGGTGGAGCTCTGTGAGTTTGAGGGCAGCCTGGTCTACAGAGTGAGCTCCAGGACAGACAGAGAAACCCTGTCTCAGAAAAAAACCAAAACAAAAACACAACAAAATACATAATACATATATATGTGTTTGTTTGTATGTATGTATATATGTGTGTGTGCATAAACACATATATCTATATATACATGTATATATAGATACAGAAATACATTTGATTTTTAAGTATTTTTCTTATTAAGATAAAATTCAAGTGACAAATTCACTCATCATTTTATAGTATCAGATTCCTAGGTTTTCAGTGGATCACATGTTCTTAAGACAGTTTTCCAGTAACCCAAGGATTCTGGATCTCAGTGTCAGCCACAACAGCCCTCTCAGCACTGCTCCTCTGTTGTTTTCCTGTTCTGGCGGTTCAGGGAAAGGGGCTCACTTACCAAGTAGTCTTTTATCTGACTTCTTTCATTAGCAGTGTTTGCTAGGTTAATTCTTTTTTTTAATTTATTTATTATGTATATAGTGTTCTGGGCACCAGATCTCATTATAGATGTGGTTGTAAGCCATCATGTGGTTTTTGGGAATTGAACTCAGGACCTCCGGAACAAGAGTTAGTTCTCTTAACCTCTGAGTCATCTCTCCAGCCCCACTAAGTTCATTCTTATTGTAGAATGTATCAGGATTCATTCATTACAAGACTGGATAATATTGCCTGTATAGATGCATTTTGTTTGTATATTTCATCAGTTGAACGTTTGGGTCGTTTCTAGCTGTTAGGAATAATGTTGTTATGCATATTCTTATACAAGCTTTTAATTTTTATGAACATACACACCTAGGAGTGTAGTTGCTGAGTCATGGGGTAACTTTCCTTGACCTTTTGAAGAACTGTCAAATGATATTTCACAGTCACATCACTATTTTGTATTCTTACCAGCAATGTGAGCGTTCCAGTTTCTCCATGTCTGTGCCAGCATCTGTTGTCCTTTTGGTAGTGTTGACCTAGTAGCACAAAGTGCTGTTTCATGACTTGCAGTTGATTTTATATATTGATTTTATAGATTTATATATTCAGCAAGATTGTATTCTGCAACCTTGTTAAACTTAGTAATTCTAGTTGATTTTTAGTGTTTGCCCCTGGGGTGGTGTTGGTGATCAAATTCAGATCCTTATACTTAAAAAAAAATCTCTAGGATTTTCTACATGCATAATTATGTTGTCTGCCAGTAAAGACAGTTTTTACTTTTCTTTCCAATCTTTTGCCTTTAATTTCAATTTGTTGCCTGATACTCTGGCCAGGAACTCCAGTGAGCACAGAGTGGACGTTGTTGTCTCCTCCTGATCTTGGGGAAATGTACTCCTTTGACTGATGGGCTGGTGAGCCTGTGTCCATCTGCCATATAACTTCTTTCGTGTCATCTAAAAGACTTTGACATATAGACCATGTTTTTGCTTACACCCATTTTAGGATGCTTTCTATTATACTTTGTGTATGTATGTGCACATGTTTATGTGTTTGTACCTTTATGTTTGTGCCAGCATGCATGCATGTATTACCCACGTTTGCCATCTTGGTGACTTTTGTTTTAATTGTGAAAATTTTTTTCTGTTTTTGACTTTTTTTTTTTTCCTGCCCCAGTGCTTTGTGCTTACTAGGCAAGTGCTCTACCACTAAGCTACAGCCTCAACCCCATGAAATCATTCTCCTTACTCTTTGCTCTGGAACTGACTCTTGTCTGGTATTGATATATTGATATTGTGGTTTGTCTTTTGATTGGTGTTAGCATGGTGTGTCCTTTTTCCATCCTTTTAATTCATTTGTGTTTTTGATATTGAAAGTACCTTTTTTTTTTAAAGAAAAAAGTGTGTGTGTGTGTGTGTGTGTGTGTGTGTGTATGAGGGGGGAGGGAGAAGGGTGTGTACATACCACAGGGCTTGTGTGGAGGCCAGAGAACACCTCTGTGGAGTTGGTTCAGTAGTTCAGGGCTCAAACTCAGTTGACCGGGTTACCTCTGCCCACAGAGCATCTCAATGTACTGAAAGTGGAATTCTAACAGCTGCAGTCGCGTCTGCCCCACCGTCATCCCAAGTATGTCTTTCTCAGTTGTCTTGAAGACTTTTTGCTTTATTGTTGGTTTCATTTTATTTGATTGTACATGCTTTGTTGAGTCTTATGTTTGTAGTGTTAAACTTTTTGGATTTGTGGATTATAAATTTCATCCATTGTGGGACATTTTGTGCTGTTCTTCAAATATTTGTAGTCCTCATCCTTATTTCTTTTGGAAACTCCAGAGATGTGTAGGAACACCAGAAACTGTCTTGGCTGCCTGATGCTCTGCTCCATTTTTGTTGTCTGCCTTCTCTGTTTTGCTTGTATGGTTGTTTCCTAGTTACTGCTCTCTCTGTGACACCGTTTGCCCTTAGTGCTCTCACTGCAGTTCCCGTCCCTCACACTGTGGTCTGTGTGTCTAATTGTCTTGGGTCTTCGTGTCTCACATCCGTGTCTCTAGCCCTGTTGCTGTGCTTTGGCACTAATTCTGACTGTTCTCGGTTTGACTAAGTTTTAGTTGACTGATTTCTTTTTTTTTTATTGTATACAATATTTTTTAAAGATTTATTTTATGTATATTTATTTTATGTATATCTGCATGTACTTTATGCCAGAAGAGGGCACCAGATCTCATTACAGATGGTTGTGAGCCACCGTGTGGGTGCTGGGAATTGAACTCAGGTCCTCCAGAAGAGCAGCCAGTGCTCTTAACTCCTGGTTCATCTCTCCAGTCCCAACTGATTTTTTTAATAGACTATATGTAATTTTGCTTTTTTGTAAATGTGGCAATGTTTATAGGACTAAAAAACTAAAAAAGATCACCACAGTGCTCCCTCCTTCCCACTGTTGAGGTAAGATCCTTTTGTGGGTTGTATTGAACATCCTGTGAATTGTGGGGTTTTCGGTCTCTCTGTTCTTGGCTAGTGTGAATACTGACCTTTCTTCTTTCCAGTCTATCTATTCTTGGCTAGTGTGAATACTGACCTTTCTTCTTTCCAGTCTTTCCACATACTTCTCCCTGCCCCCTTTAGATGGCTTCCTTCCTCATTCTTGTGTCTGGGTACTCAACTGGATGCTTGAGGATCCTCTGCCAGTGTCCAGAGCTCTCTCTGCATCTCTCTCCCTAGGACACTGCCTCCTCCAAACTTTGGTCATTTTAGTCTCACTTTGAAGTTCTCACAGGACAGTCTCTATTTGTGGCCTTCTCTTGTTCTGTGACTTGGATTTGTTGATCTTTCCTAAGATCTGTATTTGACCTATTCAACAAGCATTTGCCTATGTCTGCTGTAGGTTGAGGAACTGAGGTGAATGAGGCCCCAGTCTCAGTCCTCAGGTGAGGCTGAAGAGACAGCATAAGCTTCCTACCATAAACCCACTGAAGCCAGGCCAGTTCCTGGCTTTCAACATGGGGAAGTGTAGCATGAATAATAAAAACACAGAGACAGATATTGGAGTTCAAGCTGAAGATCAGAAAAGCAAAACACCCAGCCACTAAAGAAGTCTTAACCTCTACCAAGACTGGACGAGTGCCGCCTGAACCCTGAGCCTCTATCCTCTTCCCTTTTATATTCCTCTTTGGTACTGGGATTAAAGTTGTGAGTCACCACCACCTGGCTCTGTTTCTGCACTGGTCTTGTTTAGCCCAGGGTGGCCTTGAACTCACAGAGACCCACCTGCTTCTGTCTCCTGGGTTTAAAGGTGTGTGACTTCACTGCCTGGCCTCTAGTGGCTTAATTTTAACCTCTGATCTTCAGGCAAACTTTATTTATTAAAACATAACTAAAATATAACGATTGTTAGCCGGGCAGTGATGGCACACGCCTTTAATCCCAGCACTTGGGAGGCAGAGGCAGGCGGATCTCTGAGTTCGAGATCAGCCTGGTCTACAGAGCTAGTTCCAGGACAGGCTCCAAAGCCACAGAGAAACCCTATCTCGAAAAACCAAAAAAAAATATATATATATATATAACGATTGGGAAGTTTCCTCAGGGCTTCAGTTAAGGGCAGGAGCATGGAGACCAGGATTTTATTTGTTTTTTGAGACAGAGTCTTTCTATATAATTCTGACTGCATAGAAATCACTATGATCAGTCTGACCTTGAACTCACAGATATCCACCTGCCTCTGCTTCCTGAGTGCTGAGCTAAAGATGTATGCCACCACACCTGGATTAGGTTGTTTTTTAATTAATTGATTTAAAAACTGTTGCTTTCATTTTTTCTACTTTCAGGTCTAGCCAGTGTGGTTGGTTAATTTAGTCCTTGTTATTCCTTCTTGGTTGAAATAAAAAGTGTCACTGCTTTAATTTTGAGTTAACAAAGTTATGTACTTTAAAAAATAAATATAATGAGCCGGGCGGTGGTGGCGCACGCCTTTAATCCCAGCACTCGGGAGGCAGAGGCAGGCGGATCTCTGTGAGTTCGAGACCAGCCTGGTCTACAAGAGCTAGTTCCAGAACAGGCTCCAAAACCACAGAGAAACCCTGTCTCGAAAAAACCAAAAAATAAATAAATAAATAAACAAACAAACAAATAAATAAATAAAATGAAGAATGGTGTTTGACTCTCAAGAGTTTGTACCTATTTTCCATTGTCTTGTGCCAGCTCTGGAAATTGTAATAACAGTAGCACAAGTTGGAAGAGATAACACTTAGGAATGCTGTAACACTTAGTGCAGTTCGTTCTCCATTGTTGAAATGTAATTTAGGTATAATGTTTTGGATTTTGGGGGGCAGGTATTAATCTTTACCTGTTTTAAAATGCTGTTAGCTAGGTTCATTAATGCATGCCTGTACCAGCTACTTGGAAGGCCAATATAGGAGGATCACATAAGCCAGAAGTTCAGGATTCACCTGGGAAACACAATGAGACCCTATCAAGAAATAATAATAGACTTTATTTTTGGAGTAGTTTTAGGTTCACAGCAAAATATAGACCTCTCTGGTGGAACTGTGCAGAGCCTCCTCAATGGAGCTGTCTCCACCAGAGCCAAATAAATGCAAATAAATGCATGGAAGCCAGTGTGCTAGCTTTACCATATCATCGTCACCTAAAACCCCTCATTGACATTCAGGTTCTGTATGTTGTCCTGGCCTTCTGCTCTCTCACTGATGTCTGCACAGCTTCCTTGCTTGTTCCAGTATTGGCACTTGGAGCCACAGTTATCTGGAAGCTGCAACTCTGAGAGAACAGCCTCTCTGGTTTTACATTGCTTTAGGCCATGGCTTCCATAAACTTGTGTGATGGGGTCTGCCGGTTTTTCTGACTTTCTGTGAATCCATCTTCCTTTTCCATCTCTGTTTCTTCCATCCTGGTGGCTTCAGTTCCTAGAAGTCTCTCTTCTTCTCCTTGTCTCTCTTCTGGTTCTTTCTTGTACATTTTGAATCTTAGTGTAAACTCACCTCTCCTTGACCTCTGTCCTTTTCCTCTCCCAGCTATCCCCAAGGCTGGTTTATGTCCCTTCTTTGTCTAGATTTGTTTCTCACCACAAGACCAGAGGTTGTAAAAGTCTTCATTTGATTCTTATTCTGTGTAGAATAGGCCGTCTCACCCTGTTTACTACTGTGCAGACTTCTCTGGAAGTTAATCTAATGTCAGGCATTAGATGTGGTGGACTCAAACAGATGCTTCCTCTCTGTAGCCAGTGTTCTGCATGCTTTTGCTGTCCTTCACAGCCTGTAATTTAATTAGAATTAACTACAATGTAAATTATCCTTTTTTTTTTTGAGACAAGGTGTTACTGTGTAACCACTGCCATTCTGGATGTCACTATATAGACTATTCTGGCCTTAAAATCCCATCTGCCTCTCTCTCCTTGGGATTAAAGGTAGGGGCTACCTCAACCAGCCAACATAAGAATTTTGCATTTAGGGTTTAGGATACTTTCTAAAGATTAGTTATTAGAAGTGTTTTGTTGATTCTGGTGCTTCAACAATACTTAGTGTAATGGTAAAAATAAAAAGGCGCCATTCCCCAAGGGGCAGTAGTGGGCAGCGGGTCCTAGGTAGGGAGCCCGGTGGTGGATGAGAGACCTGGGCGGGTGAGAGAGAGATAGGCACGCTATGCAGAGTGAGGTTGCATATTTATTTAGATTTATTTAGTGGGTTACGGAGGGAGAAGAGGGAAAAGTACATACACACACACACACACACGCAGAGAGAGAGAGAGAGAGAGAGAGAGAGAGAGAGAGAGAGAGAGAGAGAGAGAAATGGGAGGGAGGAGAGGAGAAGCTACCTCTTCAGGAGAGAGTGGAGAAAAGAGAGAGCTCAGGCTGGAAGCAGAAGGAGGAGGATCTACTTGCCACCACTGCCCAGTTTGTTTGTTTTTGTGACGGGGTTTTCTCTGTATAACTCTGACTGTCCTGGAACTCACAACAGTCCACCTGCTGCTGCCTCTAAGTGCTGGGATTAAAGACATGCACTACCACCAACCAGCTCCCCCCCTTTTTTTGAGACAGTCTCACTATGTAGCCCAAGCTGCCCTCAGTCTTTCAGTGACCTTATCACTCTTCCTTTCCAGTGCTGAGATTATAGATGTGCCAGTGTGCCTATCTTTTGAATGAAGTTTTAGTTGAGGGAGTATGTTACATTGTAGCATGATTAATAACCCAGAGACAGATATGGGGGGTTCAACCTGAAGATCAGAAAAGCAAAACAGCCAGCCATTAGCTCTTACCTCTGTCTGAAATGATGATCCTGGTTCCAAGAATCTCAGAATGAGACTAGGAACTGTCTCCTCCTGTCTTATATTCCTCTCTTGGGCTGGGATTAAAGGCATGCAACACTACCACCTGGTTTCTATGGCAAACTAGTGTGTCTACTGGGATTAAAGGTGTGTGTCACCACTGCCTGATCTGTGAGGCTGACCAGTGGGGCTCTTTTACTCTCTGATCTTCAGGCAAGCTTTATTTATTAAAATACACATGAAATATTACATTACGTAACAGTGTCAACAGCTTAATTTTAAGATTCATTGTTCTAGATCATTAGATTCTGGAAGTAACAGGCTTTCTGCACCTTTTTCAGGGACCATTTTTGCATATGGACAGACTGGGACAGGCAAGACTTTCACCATGGAAGGTGTCCGTGCTGTGCCAGGGCTCAGAGGAGTCATCCCCAACTCATTTGCTCACATATTTGGTCACATTGCAAAAGCAGAGGGAGACACAAGGTGAGCGAGTGCTTCCTCTCCTAATATTGAGAGGTTCAGACCTGGGAACAGCATCAGATTTATAAACACACTTACTACATTGAATATTTTTTGTACTTGCAGGTTTTTGGTTCGAGTGTCATACTTGGAGATATATAATGAAGAAGTTCGAGACCTTTTGGGCAAGGATCAGACACAACGGTTAGAGGTAATGATGAAATTGGAGTTAAGATAAAAATTGGAGTGTGGGGTATAGTGGCTCATGCCTTTAGTTCCAGCACTCAAGAGGCAGAGGCAGGCGGATGGATCTCTGTGAGTTCGAGGACAGCCTGGTCTACAGAGTGAGTTCCAGAACAGTCAGGGCTACACAGAGAAACCTGTCTTGAAAAAAAAAAAAGAAAAAAAGGAAAAAAGTTGGAACAGACTGCTGGACTCATAGATGAGTGCCTAGTCCAGTTGTCACCAGAGAGGCTTCCTCCAGCAGCTGATGGGAGCAGATGCAGAGACCCCCCACACAAACATTAGACAGAGCTTGGGGAACTCTGCAGAAGATGGGAAGGAAGGATTATAGAAGTCAGAAGGGTTGAGGACATCAGGAGAACATGGTCCACAGAATCAGCTAAGCTGGGTTCATAGGGGTTCACAGAGACTGAAGCAACAATCAAGGAGTTTGCATGGGTGCTAGGTCTTCTTCACACACACTGTGCTAGTTTAGCCGGGGTTGTTTGTGGGAGTGAGAGTGGAGGTGTAACAGAAGTAAGCTTTCAGTTAGTGTACATTGGGGCTTTGCCTGTATGTGTGTCTGTATGAAGGTGTCAGATCTCCTGAAACTGGAATTGCAGGTGGTTATGCTGCCATGTGGGTGCTGGGAATTGAACCTGAGTCCTTTGGAAGAGCAGCCAGTGCTCTTACCCTCTGAGCCATCTCTCCAGCTCATGTTTCACCCTTTTACCTGCTCTTGGGATCCTTTTTCTTCTACTGGGTTGCCTCTCCAGCCTAGATATGAGGGTTTGTGCTTAGTCTTGTTGCATCTCTTAGATTTTTATTGCTGTGAAGAGACACCATGTCCACAGCAACTTTTATAAAGAAAACATTTTTTTTTTTTTTTTGGTTTTTTCGAGACAGGGTTTCTCTGTAGCTTTGGTGCCTGTCCCGGAACTAGCTCTTGTAGACCAGGCTGGCCTCGAACTCCCAGAGATCCATCTGCCTCTGCCTCCCGAGTGCTGGGATTAAAGGCGCCACCACCACCTGGCTAAAGAAAACATTTAATTGGGGTGGCTCACTTACAGATTCAGAGGTTCGGTCATTATCGTCATGTTGGGGAGCATGGCAGCGTGCAGGCAGATGTGGTGCTGGCTATGTCTTGACTTGACTGACAGTCACACTGAGAGACCTCAAAGCCCATACCCACAGTGCTGCACTTCCTCCAGCAAGGCCACACCTCCTAATAGTGTCACTCCCTTTGGGGGGCCATTTTCTTTCAAACAACCACACTTGTGCTGTGTTCTGTTGATATCACTGGGAGGCCTGCTTTGTTTCTGAAGGGAAAGGGAGGAACAGTGGGAGCAGGGAGGAGGAGAAGGGAGGATTCAGGGGCAGGAGGAGGTGGGAAGTAGCGACTGGAAGGAGTGGAGGGAGGAGAGGCTACGGTTGGGATGTATTGTATGAGAAAAAACTAAAAAAGAAACATGAAAACAAATTGGAATAGAGTGCTTGCCAGACTAAGATCCTTTTTGTACAAGGGAACTAACAAAAATTACCTGCATCTGCCACAAATATAAACCCATCTGAGTATAAGTCACTGACGCACAGCTGCTGAGTCGGGTGGTAAATTTGGGGGATAGTGCCATCTTAAAAATATTTTAAGATACAAGACAAACAAGGAAGAATGAACCTTTTAAATACTAGTATTGGATTATTTTTTTAATTTTGTAAGTGCCTGGCTTGATTTTCCTATTTGAAGATCCTTGCCAGTGTTCTCCTACCCCAAACCAGTCTGCCTTCTAGGTTTGCAAGTTTTAGGTTAAAGATCACATTGCTGAAGCTTACCCTGGGCCTTTTACTAGCTTGTCCTTGAGTACATTCCCAGAGTGGCAGGATGGTTCAACAGGTAAAGGGGATGTCCTCTAAGCCTGAGGATTCACATGGTGGAAGGAGAGAACCAACTCCCACGTGTTGTCTTCTGACCTGTGTGCCCTGGTGTGCACCGCACACACGCGTACAGTTTTTAGTAAACTATCATCTCATGCTGTCTTGTGTTTTATTCGTGGCATCACGAGTACTTTGTGTGCAGCATTCATTTGTGCTGCTGCACTATCACCTGTGCGAGTGTGGTCCCCGTGCATAGCCATGCTTCACTTTCTTCCCATGTAAATAACTGGAAATTTTACATCATAAATACAGTCTTAGGCATGATTTATGTTTGCTTTTTAGGTTAAAGAAAGGCCTGATGTGGGAGTGTATATCAAAGATTTATCAGCTTATGTGGTCAATAATGCTGACGATATGGATAGAATCATGACACTAGGCCACAAAAATCGTAAGTGTGCTACATAACTGTGATGAAATGCCTGCATTCTAATGCTGGTTAAGAAGCAAATAAACACAGCTTTTGTCCAATAGAGGTTGAATTTTTTTTTTTAAAGTCCATTCTTTTTATTTACTATCCAGGGAGCATATGTGAGTGAACAATAGCATAGAGTGTTTTTATGCTGACTGAAGCTTTCTTTTCATTAATACCAGTCTTCTCCTTTCTTCCTTCCTTCATTTCTTCCTTCCCTTTCCTTCCCTTCCCTTTCCTTCCTTATTTATTTATTTAGAGGCAGGGTCTTACTGTCCTAATAAGACTTTATTTATTTATTTATTTATTTATTTATTTATTTATTTATTTGAGATAGGGTTTCTCTGTGTAGCTTTGGAGCCTGTCCTAGAGCTCACTCTGTAGACCAGGCTGGCCTCGAACTCACAGAGATCCACCTACCTCTGCCTCCTGAGTGCTGGGATTAAAGGCATGCAATACCACCACCCAGTGACTTTATTTATTTTTATTATATGTATATGAGTATGTTGCCTGTATGCATGTAAGTGTACCACATGTATGCATTACCCACAAAGGCCAGAAGAGGGCAAAAGATTTCCTGGCACTGGAGTTACAGATAATTGTGATCAGTTGTGCTAGTGCTGGGACCCAAATGCAGGTCCTCTGAAGAGCAGTAGATACTCTTGACTGCAGAGCCATCTCTCCAGCCTCTTTTGGTTTTTCGAGACAGGGTTTCTTTGTGGCTTTGGAGCCTGTCCTGGAACTAGCTCTGTAGACCAGGCTGGTCTTGAACTCACAGAGATCCGCGTGCCTCTGCCTCCTGAGTGCTGGGATTAAAGGCGTGCGCCACCATCGCCCGGCCATTTTTTTGTTTTCTTGGTATAGGATTCTTTACATTGCCTTGGCTGTCCTGGAACTCACTGTATATACACTGTATACCAGGCTGGCCTTGTACTCACAGAGATCCGCCTATTTCTACCTTCTTTTTTTTTTTTTTTTTTGGTTTTTCGAGACAGGGTTTCTCTGTGGTTTTGGAGCCTGTCCTGGAACTAGCTCTTGTAGACCAGGCTGGTCTCGAACTCACAGAGATCCGCCTGCCTCTGCCTCCCGAGTGCTGGGATTAAAGGCGTGCGCCACCACCGCCCGGCTCTATTTCTACCTTCTAAGTGTTAGTATAAAACGTGTGTGCCACCAGGCCCAGCTCTCCAGCCTTTAATAGTGCCAGGCTTTGAAGCTGTTATACTGTTAGAGCTTGATAGTTAAAGCATTTTGTTTGAGCACTTAGTAGGAAGTGCTTGTGCTGTGTGCTTTATCGAGATGATCAATCGTCACTGTAGTCTGTGGAGATATAAAGTTCCTCCTTTATGAATGAGGAAACTGAGATGTAGTTTAAATACCATGTCTAAGGAATTCAATCGCTACATGGTAGGGTGAGAGTTAGCTAGAATATATACCACTTCCCTTCTGTTGAAAAGAAAAGCAAAATTAAACCAACATTTTCTTCTATGATTGTTATAGATTTCTCATCTAAAAAATAAAAGTCTTGCCAGGTATGATGGCATATACCTTTCTTTAATCCCAGTTGACTCAGACTGCGGGAGGCCAGCTCCTAGATCTGCTCAGGGTAGCCAAAAGAATGCCTCAGAGTAGCAGGGACATAGGAAAGATTCTGATCTGAGGGTTGCTAGACTTTTCTATCTGGGGAAACACCAGCTTTCTGCTGGTAGCTTAATAAGAAAGGAACTTCTACTTAAATAATCTGTTTTTGACAGTCTCTCTTTACATAATACGTCCCTGTCCTGCTGAGTTACATATTTTATATTCAGTTACATCTCTTTACTGCTGCATATTTCTCTTGACACACACCCACTCTCACACTCATTCACTTACACACACTTCTGTATCGTTCTCTCGCTCGCTCGTTACTCATCACTCACTCATTTCCTCACACTGCTCTCACGCGTCCTCTCTTCCTCTCTCTGCATTGCTGCCCTCTCCTCTCCCACAGACAAACTCTGGACAGTTAATTGTAAGTTACATTTTCAGGGCCTGACTCATACTCAAAATCCAAGATAAGTCGTGTAGTTTCTCTTGGGCTAGGAATGTCACAGTGACTGGCCAGTGAGCCACTGTGGCCTTAAACGTAGCTCTAAGCTGGTGAGGGTTCCCAGACAGTAAATAGTTGACTGAACCCTGAGGCTGGGGAGTACATGCAGACTAAAGTTGCTTCAAGCTCTGGTCTTGACTCAGTAAAACAACACCTGGGAAAATGACCTCATGTATTTGTCTCTAGGGACAACCAGATAGTCTCTAGGGGCAGCTAGCCTGCTTTGAATCTGCTCTGAAGTCTAAAGTTACTGTGTAAAAGGCTGTCTTTGTGACTGAGAACCCTGTGTCAGTCTGAGTAATGTAAAATATTCTAGTATTATTTCTGTTCATCAGAATTATACAATAGTAGAAGTCATCTTCCTGACCATCCACAGCTATGTGTGCCCAGTGGATGGAATATTTTCATGAGATAAACACACAAGCAGTGGGAATGCACCCAGAGCTGTTCTTAGGGAAGAAATGAAGTTATTAGGGAAGAAATGAAGTGACTCATGAGAAACTACAGACAGGAGCATTGGTTCCCAGAGCCGGTGACCCCATGGCCTTTCTAGATGAGTTGGCTTGTTAAACACTAGTTAGTTGTCACTGCTCTACATTCCCATGGCCTTCCACACCCAGTGTTCAAGAGGCGGAGGAGATGGGCTTCTGAGATTGAGGCCAGCTTTGTCTACAGAGGGAGTTTTAGACCAGACAGAATTGTCTTGCCCACACTGGCCTCAAGCTTGTGATCCTCCTGCCTCAGCCTCCTAAGTACTAGATTAAAAGAATGAACCTCTACACTGATTGTTTAGCTTGCGTTAAAATTTTTGTTTGTTTACTTTTGATTTTAGCAAAAGTCTCACAGGTAGTTCTGGTTGGCCTGGAACTTGATATATAGATGAACCTGGCTCACAGAGTTCCACCTGCTTCTGCCTCCTAAGCACTGAGATTAAAGACATGCACTATCCATGCCAAACTCTTCATGGTTTAACAAAGTTCCTGTGGAATTGGCATCTTTTGATACTGGTGGATATGGATCTATCCTGTGTGTGTGTGTGTGTGTGTGTGTGTGTGTGTGTGTGTGTGTGTGTTTTAAAGATTTATTTTATTTATTATATATAAAGTGTTCTGTCTGCATGTTTGCCTGAATGCCAGAAGAGGACACCACATCTCATTACAGATGGTTGTGAGTCACCATGTGGTTGCTGGGAATTGAACTCATGACTTCTGGAAGAGCAGACAATGCTCTCCCTCTGAGCCATCTCTCCAACCCCACATCATGTTTTTAATGACCGATTAGTGACTTAACTATTCTATAGTAGATTAAACAATATTGTATTGGATCTTTCTGGTCTCACTGTTTTAAATAGTGTTGTACTGATTTCTAATGTGTGTGTGCAAATCAGTCTGTGGTTTAGAGTCCCAAACAAAATTCTCTCTGGAAAGAGTTGTCAGCAATTATTTTCCCATTTATTTATTTATCTATTTGTTTGTTTGTTTGTTTATTATATACACAGTATTCTTGTGTGCATGTATGCCTGCAGGCCAGAAGAGGGTGCCAGATCTCATTACAGATGGCTGAGGATAACTCAGTTGGTAGAGTGCTTATCTAGCATGCACAGAGTCCTGGGTCAATCCCCAGCACTCCATAAGCTGGGTGTGGTGGTGCAGGAGGTAGAGAGATAGGAGATCAAAGTTCAGGGACAGCCTGGGCTACAGAACACCCTGTGGAAACAAAAAAAAAGTAAACGTAAAGGCATTCTGTTACAGTTTTTAAGGGTTTCTTTTCTTTGTTAAAGGTTCTGTTGGTGCAACTAACATGAATGAGCACAGTTCAAGGTCCCATGCTATTTTTACAATTACTATAGAGTGTAGCGAGAAAGGTGTTGATGGAAACATGCATGTCAGGATGGGGAAGCTCCATCTTGTGGATCTCGCTGTAAGTAACAGGACGCTACTTTTTCCCCTAAAGATTGATTTATTTATTATGTATACAGTGTTCTGCCTGCATGTGTGCTTGCAGACCAGAAGAGGGCACCAGATCTCATTACACCTGGTTGTGAGCCACTATGTTAGCACTGGGAATTGAACTCAGCACCCTTGGAAGAGCATTCAGTGCTCTTAACCTTTGAGCCATTTTTCTAGCCCACAGGATGCTACTACTTAAGGGAGAGTTGTTCTTGTGCTCCAGTTATCTGTTAATAAAAATTAAAGCCAAAAGGCATGGTGTACATGTGATTTTAAATTGCTTATTATTGTGGGATATCTGACAGTAGACATAGTAGCATTATGACTGTGCTTTTTTTCACCTACTTCCTAGACTTTTTTGTCTATTCTTCCTTCTTCCCTTATTGTTTTGAAGTGAATTCCAGATGCTACATGGGATATTTTAAATTACTTTTAAAAACCCAGATTTTAGAAAAGTACTTCTTGGTTTTAAAAAAAAAACTTTAGTTTTTATCTGTTTATTGCTAGGGGTCAGAAAGACAAGCGAAAACTGGAGCCACGGGACAGCGCCTCAAGGAAGCTACAAAAATCAACCTTTCACTCTCCACCCTGGGCAATGTCATCTCTGCCTTGGTGGATGGAAAAAGCACGCATGTGCCATATCGGAACTCTAAACTGACGCGTCTTCTGCAGGATTCCTTGGGAGGGAACTCAAAAACCATGATGGTAAGACTTCAGTCATGGCATAGTTAATTTGTCTAAGGCAAATTTAAGATTCTAATTTATTTCCATAATTGGTGTGAATAGCATTTTACAAATCAATTCCTTTTCTTTGTGTATTACAAAATGTAATTGCCTGTGGTTGTATTGTTTCCATACCTATATGATTGATACTGGTTTTTCGAAGACCAAACCGTCTATCTAGTTTGGGCATTTGTTTTAGTAATGATGATATTAGTAGCTGTGTAGAATGATTTACGTTTCTAATTCAACAGTGTGCAAATATTGGGCCAGCAGATTATAATTACGATGAAACCATCAGTACCTTGCGGTATGCCAACCGAGCCAAGAACATTAAAAACAAAGCGAGAATTAACGAAGACCCTAAGGACGCTCTGCTTCGTCAGTTCCAGAAAGAAATAGAAGAGCTGAAGAGAAAGCTTGAGGAAGGTAACTTCTCACAAAGCTTACTGTAGTTGAGGCTTGCTGGTGACCACTGCATTTACTTCCAGAACAACCTGCCAAGCACTAGCCTCTAGCATTGACACTTAATACCTTAAGCATGTGCATTTGTGTGTGTTGGACATGTGTGAGTGCAAGCACATTCATGCCATGGTGTATGTGTGAAGGTCAGAGGACGCCTGTGGGAGCTGATTCTCTCTTGCATTATGGTTTTTGGGATTGAACTCATGGCAGACTTAGAGGGCAAATATTTTACCTCCTGAGCCCTTTGTTAAATTGTAACATTGACATTTAAAAATACTATTTCTGAGGAATATGAGTCTTCTAAGAAAATGTTTTTGTTTTTGTTTTTTTTTTTCTTTTTTTCTTTTTGGTTTTTCGAGACAGAGTTTCTCTGTGTAGCTTTGGAGCCTGTCCTGGAACTAGCTCTATAGATCAGTCTGGTCTCAAACTCACAGAGATCCGCCTGCTACCTCAGCCTCCTGAATGCTGGGATTAAAGGCATGCACTACTATTGCCTGGCAAGAAAATGTTTTCGAAGACCATCTAGATTACAAAGTTTGAAGTCCCAGCTCCTAATGGTGGTGGCAGCTGTGCACGCCTTTATTCTCAGCACTTGGGAGGCAGAGGCAGGCCAATCTCTGAGCTCGAGGCCAGAGTGAGTTCCAGGACAGCCAAGACTACACAGAGAAACTCTGTCTTGAAAAACCAAAACAAAACAAAAACAGGAAAGTTTGAAGTCCAGCTGATGGTGATGAAGAGCTTCCTGATCAGTTCTGGAACTCCCACGCCATTTACAGGGGGATGAACCCTCTCTGACTGGTATAGACTCCCTGTACAGCAGGTGAAGGGCCTGGAGTCTAAGCCATTGGAGTCTCTGGGGGAAGACCCAGAGACCACTGGTGTGTCTGGGGAAAAAGCCTGAGAACCACTTCACAGATAGTAAAGTTGTGTTTTTAAATGGCCACTAGGTGGCATTTGTAGCCAGTTTGTTTTTAAGATCTTTTATTCCCCTAGTTAGTGCTGAATGCATGCCTTCATTTTGATGATTTCATTTCCTTCCCCTCTCTTTGCCTTTCCCTTCCTCCCTCCCTCCTTTCCTCCCTCTTTCTCTCCTTCTCCTTCTCCCCAGGGTATCTCTCAGTAGCCCTGGCTGTACTGGAACTCACTATGTAGACCAACCAGGCTGGCCTCAAACTCAAAGATCCACGTGCTGTCTCTGCTTCCCAAGTGCTGGGATTAAAGTCGTGCGCCACCACCGCCAGGAGTTCTCTTAGTCCTTGTGATGGTGTGGCTGTGCACATTGGGTAGACATGTTCTAGTCCCTGTGTATGTGCTGGACACGCAGCCAGAGGTAGTCGTATAGTCATGTTCTCTGTGATGTGTTCGACTTCATTTTTATTCTTCTGATCCTATGTTCGGTAGGCAAAGGCATTAAAGGACTTTTTTGTTTGTTTTGTTTTTGAAAAGATTTCAAAAGTCTAAAAAATAAAAAAATTTAATTTTTCTAAGAAAGTAAAATAAAATTTCTGTGTACATGTGTGTGAGGTTGCATGTGAATATGTGCATGTGTGCATGCTTAGAGATGATAACAGAATGTGTCCAAGTACTGTTCATTGTTTCGGTGGGCAAGGGGAAGACAGGCTCTCTCATGGACCTGGAACTCCCCAAGTAGGCTGGGCTGGCTTGTGAGCAAACCCCAGAGATCACCAGTGTATACCTGCTTGTCAGGTACACTGTGAACATTTAGGTAGATTTTCAATTTGTGTTTGAGCAACAAAAATGTAATGAATTGAATGAATATAGGCCTTTTCTAAATAGCCAGGGACTTGGTACAGACTAAAAATGGTTAAATTTCTGTCCAAGGGGAAGAAGTTTCAGGCTCTGACGTTAGTGGGTCGGAGGAGGATGATAATGAGGAGGGTGAACTTGGAGAAGATGGAGAGAAGAGGAAGAAGAGAAGGGGTAAGTTCTCTTCATGTTCTGATTGCTCACAGCTGGCTAGAATTGTTCCCCGATGATGTCCACTTTATATTGGCATTTTTAACTATGGTATTGGTTCCAGCAGGGAACTTATGCTGTATATGGTTAACTTTGTAAACATTCTCTCTGGTTATGTTTGCTTACCCAGGATGCCATATCGTCTCCTGTAAAATTTTAAGTTGTGAAACTGTGGTAGGAGATATACTGTCTTCCAGTTTTACATCTGTGTTAGGTCCCTATCGGTTTTTGAAACTAGGATAACGTGGGATTTTTCTTAAAGTGATGTTGTTAGCCTTTAAAAATAATTTGCAGGTGGTGAGCTTGTGTGAGAAATACAGTTTTTCACTGAAGTCCATCCTTTTTTTTTTTTAATTTTTTTTGGTTTTTTTGAGACGGTTTCTCTGTGTAACAGCCCTGACTGTCCTGGAACTAGCCCTTATAGACCAGACTGGCCTTGAACTCAAAGAGATCCTCCTGCCTCTGTCTCCCAAGTGCTGGGATTAAAGTCGTGTGCCACCACTGCCTCCCCCTCCCCCCACCAAGTTCTTTCTTTGTAAACTGTGTGGCATCCTCACCCTTTGGAGCAGCTTCCAGCATGAACTGCTTTGCTGAGGCTACAGAGGGCATAAAGAAAAGAAGGTCCCTGCCTCATTTCAAACCCCAAGCGCTCCTCAGCTCCTGCGGGCTGCTGCACAGTCATAGTTAATCAGTCTTGGTGAAAACAAGCCCATCACTGCTCGGTGGGAGCCCAAATTAAAAACTGAAGATTTTGTACATCCAGAAGACAGAAAAAGCACCAAGTAGGGCAGAAGTTGGCAGAGTACAGTGTGCTGGCCAAATCCATGTGGAGCCTTTTTTTTTTTAAAGTGTTCTTAAAGCAGCCACAATCATTTGTTTATGTGTGATCTATGGCTCTTTCACATCAAAACACTTGACCTGGTTCTTTGCAAAAACTCTTTATCAGTCCCTGACTTAAAAAGTGTTTTTAACCGGGTGGTGATGCACGCCTTTAATCCCAGCACTTGGGAGGCAGAGGCAGGCGGATCTCTGTGAGTTCGAGACCAGCCTGGTCTACAAGAGCCACTTCCAGGACAGGCTCCAAAACCACAGAGAAACCCCGTCTCGAAAAAAACAAAAAAAAAACAAAAAAAAGTGTTTTTATTCATAGCTAGTTTTTCAGAGTAAAATAATGTTTTTTTTTTACTTGAACTGAGAGTAGATTTACTAAAAATAAATTTATATAGAAAAAAAGTGCCACGGTTTAATATGTTAAAATATTTTAAATATGTTTTAACTTGTGCTGGGAAGCTTAACATTTTTCTCTGAGCCTTGTTAATTATGCTGTCAAGCTTTAGACATAAGTAAAATCTGGTAGCGTGTTTTGGGGGGGGTGGGGACTTGGAGACATTGCCTTGTCTATAATGAAGGGCGGCTGATTTCAGTAATGTGAATTGTGTGATTTTTTACATTTTAAAGCTGTTTCTTTTTCTTAGCAGTGTGTATAGACTTGCATGTCACTAGGTGACATTTTGGTCATTTCAACCCTCTGAATAATTATGTTCAGATTAGTAGTGGGGTTTGCACTACTGCGGATCTGTAAAGAAATGCAGTTATAATCCCGCATGGCTTTGTGACAGGGAAGCAGCTGGACTTAGTTGTAAGCTAGAGTGAGTCGCTCTTGAATGCAAAGCTTGATTGTCCTCTAAATTCTTCCTACAGAACTCAAGTTTTCTCTGTGTATTTTTGTTCATTTCTTGTTCCCTCTCTCTGGTTCCGTGGGCTCGTTTCTTTGTCTTCCAGGCAGTAGCAGCAGCAGTAGCTCAGACTCCACATGTTCTGTCATAGAGAAGCCTCTGGATGAGTTCTTGCCTCGTGAGTGGCGGCCCTCACCTTCTCTAACAGAGCTCTGGCTTCTCCATCACTCATGGGCTTCATTTGAGAGATGCTGCCCCACTCCCTGTCATGACTGGTTCATGTTGGGCTCCCAGGAGGAAAGCATGTGGCCCCACCCTGCCATGGCTTCAGTTGACTGTGAAACATAGGCCAGAGCCCATGTTTGAGACAGTAGAAGAAAGACTCATGCTTTTGCTGCTGAGATAATGTCAAGAGAGCCAGCGAGCTGTGTGAAAGAATAATTCTCAGGATTCTATTTTATGCTTCATTATATTTTTAATTCTGGTCAGTGTAAGAGATGTGAACAACACATCTTGAATCTCTACGAGTACAAATTAATGTTTGTTGGTGCAGCGGCGCCCAGTGTAACAGGCTGTGTGTGCTCCAAATAAAGGATGAGCGAAGCCTGAGGCAGGTGAAGAAGACCGAGTAGCGCTTCATCCCAACTGGATGCTTCCCCACTCCTGATATCGGTCAATTTTGAGACTCTTTCTGAGATGTGATTAGAAAATTCGGAGTCACACAGAGTGCATAAAGTCTGTCTAGACTTCTTTAGTCTTAGATATTTTTTTAACTGTAAGTTAAAAAGCATTAAATTTTGTCTATTTCTACTTTCAGAAGAAAATGGAAGTGATGCTTGCTTTCACCACCTTGCAGCTTGCTGTCTCTTAAAGCATTATCTGTGTCCTTACCTTTTCCAGACTAATGGCAAAGGCCATTGCTTTTAGCTTTACTAGGGAAAATCTCAGGAAGCTCAAGACACTGTGTCTGTTGACACTGTTGAAGCAAATTACCAGAACAGCTGACCTCACCGGATAGTTTATAAAATACATGGCATTGCTCAGACACCACATAGAAGCACAGTTTTGTATTATAACCTGTGAAATGAGAGAAAATATATGAGAGGAAGCATTGTAATTTAGTTTTCTGTTCTAACACTTACCATTCTTAGAGAGTAGTTATATGAAAGTAAGTTACAAAATGAGTTGTACCTTATTCAATTCAAGACTTTTTTTTTCCAATTCAAGAAGCTTTAATTGCTGTTTTCATACCTAGCATTTAACTTTGTTGTCATAACATGGATGCGTTGGGGAGGTGGAGAGATTATCGTCCCAGCATGTGGTTGCTGTGTGTAACTTGTGTGTATTACCCTCCCATTAAATATGAATGGCCATTCAATGTCCCTTGCTTGAATCATCAGCTGTCATTTATTTATCTAGTCATTATTTAATCACCCAGAACAATCAACACGTAGGCTGAATGTAAGTTTGCTACTATACAGGTGCACTTCATTTTACGTATTTAGAGAGAGCTGCTTAAAAATAAAGTTAGGAAATAAAATATTGTGAACTTACTGCCTTTAAAATTCATTAACCCTGTTGTTAATCTCACGACCAGTATAAACTTGTGCAAAATAGTTTATCTGTGTAGTTACTTCAGGTCTACCTGGTGGATTTTCTTAAAATGGGGAACACCTGTAATGTGTCTTTATAGGAGAAACATTGAATTGGGAAATTTGGGAGATGGACAGTGAGAGCTTTGTTGCTTTCAACTTGCGAATTTTAAAAATTGACTTCATTTTTGTTTTTGCCCTTTTAGATATTTTTGCAGGTCTCAGTAGGTTCCCAATTCCATGTCTGTAATCCATCAGCATATGCACTGAGCTGGTCCACTTGCAGGGGCACTGTGGGCACCTGGGATTGTGTGGGAACCGCAGAGGGGATTGATTGCGTCTAGCATTCGTGGTGTCTTCTTATGGAACATGCTTTCTTTTTCTGTGGACTCTATTTCAGTTTTGATTATTTGATTCATGTCTTTGCTCATGCCAAGTGAATGCTGTTACACGTTTTCTCTGTTTTACAAAGGAAATAATGTTTTCCTTTCTTCCCTCCTCATCTCTGTGCACATGCTTCCTGTCTGCGACTCGCTTACCGCTTCTTTGCAAGACCAAGCAGGTTGGTGTGATTGGCTCGCACTCCACGTGGTGCAGCTACTCATTCTCTCAAGACCTTTTATTTAAGTTCTTCACATTTTTTTTTAATTTAATAATTTTTACAAGGTAAGTATCTGTCTTTTTTTTTAAAATTCCATTTTAACTATTTTAAAAAACTTTCCCCCTAAATCCTTAATGATCTACTAAACCAATTTTTGAAAATACACTTATAATTGATTTGACATTCAGGCCAAGAGTCCACACCATGGGTGCTTGTGATGCCGGTACATTAGTGCTACCCTTACACCCACCTGCCAGGTCACCTTCACTCAGGTAGCACCTGGCAAAGGGGAAGGAAAAGGCTCACTACCTCCCTTTGACATCAGAATGCCTTTTTAGATTTCTTTCTTTTTTTTTTTTTTTTTTTTTTTTTTTTTTGGTTTTTCGAGACAGGGTTTCTCTGTGGTTTTGGAGCCTGTCCTGGAACTAGCTCTTGTAGACCAGGCTGGTCTCGAACTCACAGAGATCCGCCTGCCTCTGCCTCCCGAGTGCTGGGATTAAAGGCGTGCGCCACCACCGCCCGGCCGATTTCTTTCTTTTTTTTGTCCTTAGACAGGGTTTCTATGAGTAACAGCCCTGGCTGTCCTGGAACTCAATTTGTAGACCAGGCTGGCCTTGAACGCACAGAGATCCTTCTGCTTCTGTCTCCCAAATGCTGGGTTAAAAGTCTGTGTCACCAGCTGCCTTTTTAGATTTATTTACTTAAAATTTTTGTGCAAAGTTTTATCATGGGGAACTAGAAAAGTTTCTGAGATTGTTTTGTTTTTTTAAGTTGATTTGGTTGAGGAGACTGTGTATGTATGTATTGTCCTGGGAAGGAACCCAGGGCTTTGCACCTGGTGGCCAAGGACTGAGCTACGCCCCCATCTCCTTTTAAAAATGTCTTTAGAAGCACATGTAGTCTCTTATCCCATTGGAGGGATGGACGTGCTCAGTGGCTGCACAGGGGCACAGACCACTTCAGGCTCCTGCAGCTCCTTCCCAGTGGAGGCTAAGACTTGTACACAGGGGAGCACAGGCTCAGGATTAAGGCATCAAGGTATGCCTTAAAGGTCTATGTACAAGTAACTATGGGTCACCAAATTTTTACTTTTTACGCAGTCACATTTAACTTAAAGTGTTATTTGAAAAATAATACCATGGCTTGTCACGGTGTTTCTGCCTAGAGCCACATGGGACTTGAATGTGTGGACTTTTGAACTGACCCTAGATGTGTAGAGAGTGTCTTTGTAAAACCCTCGTGCACAGTGAGACACCTGATTCTAAAACATGGGTTTGAAGGGATTACTATGTAAGGCAATCAGTTCATCAAGAGACAGTGTTTATATATTTTTATGGGCAACCCTTTTGTATTACTCCCTCCTGATGGGTTTTTGGAACTCTTTTTTTTTTTTTTTTTTTTTTTTTTTTTTTTTGGTTTTTCAAGACAGGGTTTCTCTGTGGTTTTGGAGCCTGTCCTGGAACTAGCTCTTGTAGACCAGGCTGGTCTCGAACTCACAGAGATCCGCCTGCCTCTGCCTCCCGAGTGCTGGGATTAAAGGCGTGCGCCACCATCGCCCGGCTTGGAACTCTTTATAACATTAGCAAAACAAAACACTAAAAGTCCAAAATTCATTTATTGACCTGTCTGTGCCTTTAGTACCCATGCCTTCTACACACACTATTTTGGTTTTAATGTATTTGCAATTTTTCTCTAAACATTTGTAATCCTGAGGTGGAAGTTACATACATGTTTTATTGTTGCATATACTTCCTGAAAACCTCAACTTAGACTTTTCTCCTCAAATTTTTATGGATAAAAAAATCTTTTCAAGTAATTCAATTGGGAATAGAAGTTAACTTATTTATGAAAAATTTTCTTCTATAGCGTAATTTAGAACATTAAAGGCAGGTGGCTGTGCCAGTAGACTGAGGCCCACCGCTGACACGGAGTGCAGTGAATCACACCACACCAACTGCCTGGATCACAGCTCTTAGTTCCTCTTTGGTTTTGTGCCTAGATTTTGCTTTAGACTTTGGTTCTGTAAAAGGAAGGATGCCATTAAACCCTTGAGTTCCTAATGAGATTTTGTGTTGAGTTGAAAAAGCCTGTGCATGACCCTGCCTTTCATGATTCCTACAAGAATATACTCAGATCTGTGGTGCAATCATGATTGTTTTTCAGTCCCTTTTCCTTCTTAGCAGGAGGAGCTGGGTTTGGGGTGGAGACGTTAATCTGTAATCCTCCATCCTCGTCCCTCGGGAAGGAAGTTGAGAATGGCAGACTCTCAGCAGAGCCTCAGGTCTGACAGTTCTGTGAAATGCTTGTTGTTCCGAGGGAGCGCGTTTCTAAGAACTTGCATCAGCCAGAAATGAACTGTCATTGGCTCAGTTTCAGAACCGTTTTAATAAGCTAGTGTTTGTTTTCTCTTTCTGATTTTTTTCATCTAACTTGATGGCGTTGAGGTTCACGGATGAACTTTGTGTGAGCAGGCTGCGTCCATACACCTACGCATGCTTGGGCATTGCAGTCAGCTGGAAGCTGCATTCACCTACGCATGCTTGAGCATTGCAGTCAGCTGGAAGCTGCATTCCATCTTATTAGTTGGTTTTGCTTCTACTGACTGTTGTTTCTTAGCATATTTGATCAGAGTTAGGGACTTTGATGGTCTAGGTTGACATAGTAAGTTACTTTGGAGGCTCATATGTGATTTACCAGTGCAGCTTATCAGTGTAAAACACCTGCTGTAAATGAGTAACTTACATAATGGCTGTGAAAATGATTGAAGAATCATTTTCCCTTTTAGCCTCTCTGCCATTTGGGGACCCACAAGCTTTGCTTTTTTATTTGGCGTTCCTATTACTTTCTTTCCCTATTTTTCTGCTCATCTACTTTGTTTCTCTCCTTTTTTTTTGTTTTCCCCTTACATATCATTATACAGTTGGACAACAGTTTGAATTTATTAATGAATTTAAAAAGTCTAGGAACCACGAAGTAGAAACGGAAGTTTAACATTTGCTGACTGGGTATAGACAGTGCTATACTAAGCTAATTCTTATGTCTGAAACATTGACTGCTTTTAGTGACTGCTGCAATTACATGACTCAAATAGGTAAAAAGAAAGTTTCCCCAGATAAGATGGTGGAAATGCAAGCGAAAATTGATGAGGAGAGAAAAGCATTGGAAACAAAACTTGACATGGAAGAAGAAGAAAGAAACAAGGCTAGAGCTGAACTGGAGAGACGGGAGAAGGACCTTCTGAAAGCCCAGTGAGTGTGGTGGGGTCCAGACAGGCTCGTGGCTGCAGTTTCTGTGTTCTTCATAGGACTGTGCATCAGGAAAGTCAAGCAATTAAAAAATAATCTAAAGCTTGATCTTTGTCTCCAAGATCGCTGTTTTAGGGTAGAGGGTCCACCGTGTGTGATATTTTTAAAGCTTGGGTCTTTCTGATCATTTAATCTCTGTAGGAGAAAATATTGGCCCATGTGAATGATACCTTAGCTGATGAATTAATGCCATGTAGTGGTGTGATTTGGAGAGATAAATCACATGACTGAGTTTTTCTAAGTGCATCTTCAGTTCTCCTTCAATGGGGGAGTGAGATTAGAGCGGCAGACAGGAATTTAGAGTGCTCTCCTCTTCCTTATAGACAAGAGCACCAGTCTTTGCTGGAAAAACTCTCTGCTTTGGAGAAGAAGGTCATTGTTGGTGGTGTGGACTTGTTGGCCAAAGCTGAGGAGCAAGAGAAGCTTCTTGAGGAGTCCAATATGGAGCTGGAGGAGAGGAGGAAGAGAGCTGAGCAACTTCGGAAAGAACTCGAGGAGAAAGAGGTGACGCCATGTTGAGTATGGTGTGTGAGGCATGCCTGCCCTTTCCAGAGGGAAACTTCCAGAAATAGGGTGGAAGCAGACTTGAAGACAGTAGTTAGGAAACATCTAGATCATTTGTTGCATTGAATTTGTGACTTGAAACTTTCTGAACTTAACCTGTTCTTATCATAGCAAGAACGCTTGGACATTGAGGAAAAATATACCAGTCTGCAAGAGGAGGCGCAGGGAAAGACCAAGAAATTAAAGAAAGTCTGGACCATGCTGATGGCCGCAAAGTCAGAGGTTCGTGTCTTAGAAACTGCCCACAATGCAGTTGAGAATCTTAATGTGAGCTTATGGGTTTTTTGTTTTGTTTTTGTTTTTGTTTTTTTTTTTTTTTTTTTTTTTGCTTTTTTCGAGACAGGGTTTCTCTGTGGCTTTGGAGCTTGTCCTGGAACTAGCTCTGTAGACCAGGCTGGTCTCGAACTCACAGAGATCCACCTGCCTCTGCCTCCCGAGTGCTGGGATTAAAGGCGTGCGCCACCATCGCCCGGCTTGTTTTTGTTTTTTAAGACAGAATTTTTCTATATAGCAGGCTGGCCTTGAACTCAAATCTGCCTGCCTCTGCCACCTGAGTGCTGGGATTAAAAGTGTGACTACTGCCTGCTGCCACCACCGCCCCCACAACCTAGCTTTGTGTGGTTACAGTTGTAAAGCACTAAAACACTCCTTTCTGTGTGTTTGCAGTGTTGTCCTGCCACGGCTCTAAGTGACACAGCCTAGCCAGTGACAGTGTCGGTCTGTGCACGAACTGGCCAGTTCTCACCAGGCCTTATAGACCCCTGTCCTGGGCTAGGTGCAGTATTTGTGATTAAAATCTTGTTTTGTTTGTTTGTTTGTTTGTTTGTTTGAGACAGGGGTTTCTCTTTAGCTTTGGAGCCTGTCCTGGAACTCACTCTGTAGTCCAGGCTGGCCTCAAACTCACAGAGATCCACCTGCCTCTGCCTCCCAAGTGCTGCAATTGAAGGTATGTGCCACCGCCGCCTGACTTATTGCTTAAAATCTTGTTTGCTTTATACTGTCATGGGTTCTCTGGTAGATGGCTGATCTCCAGCAAGAGCATCAGAGAGAAATTGAAGGCCTCCTGGAGAACATTCGGCAGCTCAGCCGTGAGCTTCGGCTTCAGATGCTCATTATTGATAACTTCATACCTCAGGATTACCAGGTGAGGGGAGAGTCTGATTTAGACATTGGGTCATTGGCAAGGGCTAAAGAATAAAGAATAAGCCCGTGTAACTAATTAAGATGTTACATGTTTACTTTGCAGCTGTCCTCTGTAAAGCTTTCTTGAACTAACGCCATCATATAAAAGTGACTTAGGGTTACTATTGCTGTACTAAAACAGTATAACAGAAGCCACTTGGGGACAAAAGGATTTATTCAACTTACACTTCCACATTAAGTTCATCACTGAGGGAAGGCAGGACAGGAACTCAAACACACCAGGAACCTAGAGGCAGGAGCTAATGCAGAGGCCATGGAAGAGTGCTGCTTACTGGCTTGTTCAACTTGTTTTCTTATAGAATCCATGCCCACCAAACAACGTATAGCACCACTCACAATGGGCTGGACCCTTTCCCATCAATCACTAATTAAGAAAAATACCTGCCAGGCAGTGGTGGGACACATCTTTAATCCCAACACTCAGGAGGCAAAGGCAGGCAGGTCTGTGTGAGTGAGTTTGAGAAGACAACCAGGGCTACACAGTGAAACCCTGTCTCAAAGAAAATGCGTTACAGCTGGATCATATGGAGTCGTTTTTCAACTGAGGTTCTCTCTTTTCAGATAACTCTGGCTTGTGTCAAGTTGACATAAGACGAGCCAGCACAAAAGGTGTTAGTTTTCTTTAAAATGCAATTCTCTTTGTGAGTATCTAAATATCTAAATAAGAATGTGTCAGTCCACTGAAAGGAAGAATCTTGGTTCATGTAAATGCATGAAATCTAGGTGAAGGTCCTGTTGATTTATTGACATATTTTATTAGAAAGTAGAGATGGAACTGGAGAGGTGGCAGTGGTTAAGAGCACTGCCTGCTCTTTCAGAGATCCAGATCTAACCCCCACATGGCAACTCGTAGCCATCTGTAATTCCAGCCCTGGGGATCCAACACCCTCTTTTGTCCTCACAGGCATCAGGCAGATGTGTGGTGCACAGACACACATGCAGACAAAACACTCATGTACATGGAGTATATGCATAACTACTTTCTTAAATAAAAAATCAGAATATGCTGCTGTCCTCTGTGTGTGTATAAAAATAGAACATGAAAATGCTCATTATAGTCATCTTTACAGTTCAGTAACACTGAAGACACTGACTTGGTTGTACAGTCAGCCGTCAGCACTAGTCGTTTTCAAACGGGGTAGCTGTTAATCACTAGCATAATTTAAAATCTTATCTTTTTCTTTAAGTATATGGGAATGTGAGTTTGTGCACAGAGTCTAGGCTAGAGTATTGGGTCCCCTCAAACTGCTGAGTGTGGATGCTGGGATTCGCCACAGGTGTGTGCAAGTGCAGTGAGCACTCGGCCCTGGAGCCATCTCTCCATCCCACCTTCTAGTAGATTCACAATGTTGTCAATCTCAGAAAAGCTGTGAGAAATTTTTCTGAAAATTTCCCTTCAGACCTCAGTTTCCCTGAGTCTGTGCTGGGTTTCTGGTACACTCCTGGATGTCCCAGTTCCATGTTGTGACTGATAACCCAAGTTAGCTGAAAGCTAGACTGTGACCTGTTTCTAGCTGAGTCCTTTCCCAGCCTTTCTACCCTTGGCCTCTTCCAGCCCAGCTTGCCCGTCCTCCTGATTGCCAGGATTCAACTTTTGCTTCTTTTTTTTTTTTTTATGTAGTTGAATAGTGTCCACATGTGTTCTTAAGAAGTGTGTGTCTTTAAATTTATTTTTATTTTATGCATATGGATGTTTTCCTTGTATGTGTGTGTATGTATGTATGTACGTACCATGCACATGCTTGGTGCCCACAGTGACCAGAAGAGGTGTCGGGTCCCCTGGAATTAGAGTTACATACTGTTGTGAGCCACTGTGTAGTGCTGGGAACTGAACCTATTTCCTCTGCCAGAAAAGTTGGTCTTAACCACTCAGCTAACTCTTCAGCCCAAGGACTGTATATTTTTAAATGCTTGATGCAGTATGTCATGTTTAGAAACAGCTTTTTTCACTTAACACTGATGGAAGTGTAGGTCTAATGGGTCAAATGGTTCAGCAATAAAGGCTTATTCTGTAAACCTATGACCTGAGTCTGATCCCCTGGAACCCACGTAAAGAGAGAACTGACTCCATAGAGTTGTTCTCTGACCGCCACATAAGGACCATGACTTCCATGACTTGTCCCTACCCCCGTCATGCGTGTGTGTGTGTGTGTGTGTGTGTGTGTGTGTGTGTGTGTTTATGTATGAGAGGGAGGGAGGGAGAGAGAGAGAAGTGCCCTTAAAAAGAGCTTAGTTCAAGGCATGGGGAGGTCAGAGGGATTCTCATGAGCAATATTAGTGACAGATACAGGAGAGCCACACATTTCTACTGTCAGTTCAGGTCATAGTTTTCAGTGTTCTAACTGTTGACTAAAAGTTGGCTTTGACTCTTTCTAAAGGAAATGATTGAAAACTATGTCCACTGGAATGAAGACATAGGAGAATGGCAGCTGGTGAGTATTCACCCTGCATGAAATTATGGCGTGGAGCTGGTGCGGGCTGCTGTGGAGGAAGGTGGTGCTGGGTGGATCATATCAGAACTCGGTGGACCATTCTTGGCAGTGCATTAGGCCTGGTGCTTCTGGGTGCTGGGCAGCACATTGGAGCCTTTCTGCTCCAGGGTTCACATCATGTTTGCTAGTGAGCCGTCAGGATGGCTTACAGCGGCCTTCCCAGGTCTCAGTATTGATTTAGACATTTCTCTTCCCTCTTTTCCTTTTTTGAGAAATGTGTGGCCTACACAGGAAATAACATGAGGAAACAAACCCCAGTGCCTGACAAGAAGGAGAGAGACGTGAGAGCACTTTACACACTTGTTTGTCTTTACTAGAATGGGAGTCGCTTGCTGCCTTGTTCCTAGTGTGTGGGCTGAGCTGTTCTTTGGTAAAAGAGAAGAGGCTCTTGGGTGGGGCTGTTAGGACAGGTCTGCTCTTGGGCATGCACTTAGCAAAAGTCACTCCTGGCCTGTTGTCACTCTCTGCTGTTCCCTCTTCACTGCTCTGGGCTGTGGGATGTGGCGGGAGACTAGGATGCCTTGCTTCCCTCAGTCCCAGGTCATCCAAAGTGCTGGTTTTAGAGAAAGGAAGACAGTTTTTCTTTACGTCTGGGCTCGTAATTCTCCAACTTAGAGTGCATTTACAGAGTAGGATAGAAGACTCTCTTCAAAAGGGTATTTGATTTTGTTGTCTTTTGCCCAGTGTCAGTTTGTGTTTTAAATCTTCCTCAAATCTGATTTAACTTCATGTGTGTGTGTTTGTGTGTTCGTTCTTGTAGCCTTTTGAAGTAGATCTTTCCCACGTGTACCTCGCCTATACAGAGGAGAGTCTGCGTCAGTCTTTGATGAAGCTAGAAAGGCCACGGACCTCCAAGGGGAAAGCAAGGCCAAAGACTGGGAGAAGGTGAGGACAGCCCCAAGGCCTAAAGTCCTAAAGTGACTGTGTTGTGATACTATGGTTAGATATATCTCAAGGAAGCCAAACTTTAGTTAACATGATGCGTGGTTTGAAGTTATGTTCTTATGCAATTACAATTTGATAAGCAAAATATGGATAAAGAATTGTACTCTGGTCTATAGAGCAAAAGTTTCAGGACAGCAAGAGCTGTTACACAGAGAAATCCTATCTCAAAAAACAAACAAAACAAACAAACAAAAAGAATTGCATTCTGGGACCGTTGTAGTGGCACACACCTTTTATCTCAGGACTTGAGAGGCAGAGGCAGGCAGAGCTCTTGTCTACATTTCAAATTTCAAAACAGCCAAAACTGCAAAATGAGACCCTATCTCAAACAAAACAGACACAGAACTGCATTCTTTCAGACTTCTGCCCATGGGAGGAGCAGAGCTGGTTTCAGCTTGCCTTGTTCGTTCCTAGAGTTTACCTACCACCTACTGTCTTGTCTAGGGTCTTAATTTTCACACTAATTCTCCTACTAAGACACTAATTAAGTTGCCTAGTTAGGCTCCTCAAATACTATATTCATCCGGGTGGTTTTCTGACGGAGATACTGCCTCAAGAACGTTGATTTCTCAGGGAAGCGTGCGTTTCTCCCTAGCACCGCTTGTGAGTCGTGTAGTTAGTGCTTCGTCTCGTCAGCTCACTGGGAAGCCTGGGCTGGCAGTGCTCCTCGTGCTCCTACACTGAGACTTTTGCTTTACATATAAGGTGACGTTAATGGGTTTTATGTCTTTATGTTACATAGTTTTTTAGATGTAATATAACACTAAAAATGTTGGAGTCATTAAACTACGGCTAGAAAGAAACAGCTACATGCTAAGATGTATAATAATATTTTTGCATTTTTTTAGCATTTAGATGAAGTGATTTAAAGATTTTCATATGCTAGCCGAATCTTCACATGGAATCTTTATAATATATAAGTATTTATTTTATCTTTATGTGAGTGTTTTGCCTGCATGTTTATATGTGCACTGGTGTCAGATTTCCCGGAATAGTTGGTTATAAGCCACCAGTATGGGTATTGGGGTGTGAACTTGGGTCCTAAGGAAGAACAACAGTGCTCTTAAGTGTCATGCTATTTCTGCAACCCCACACGTGTAATATCAGGGAACAAAGTAATCTGTCCTGAAAAACAGCTCTTGAGTGGTCCCTCCCTGTTAGAGGGTTAGTAGATCCTCCTCTGAGCTCTGTGGTCGTTAGGAAGATGCATTTCAGATGTGGCAGATGGTGATGAGCCAGGCAGAGAAGGGCAGTTGAGCAAGCTGGTGAGTGGTTCTGTCCCTTGTTAGTGTAGGAACAGAGGCCCCATTATTACTGGACCAATGTCTTTATAAAGAGAATCCAGATTGCTTTCATGAGGTCTCTCAAGTTCAGCTATATTTTTTAAATTGTATAGACCTTAAAACAAATAATTTGATAAACTATTAGATATAGTTTCTATAGTGCACCACTATAAAATATGCTTTTTGTTTAGCTTAAGTTAAAGAAAATATTTGTGGGCCAACGTGATCCAGACTCAACTCTGTAACAGAATAAAAAACTAGTCTTCGTGGGAAAGAAGCAGATATGTGCGCTAGATGATGTGCTTGTGTTCTCTGTGAGGGCCCATGCAGTGCTTTATGAGAGGCGTGCAGGTCAGTGTGCTGACAGGAGCAGAGGAGGCACATGAGAGTGCTGTAGGCTCAGACACTGGGAGTCCTGCTTCTCTGAGGCTCTCTGTACTGTTAGCCTCGGAGGAGATGACCAAGGGACATCCCTGATAAACTTAGTGGACACCTGTCTGCACCTTGCCTGACCTTGTGCTCAGCTCCTCACCACTCTGGATCACTGTACTGTGGCAATTTGTTCTTGTATTTGCTTTTGGTAACCTTATCTACTCTGGGTATTGATCAAACTGCTGTGGTCAGGCATGGCCAGTGTTGGTCCATTGTGGACTCCGGCCACGTGATGTGTTGGCAGTCTGTTAGGGAAGAGCACTCACCTTGCATTTTTTTCTTCTCTTAACAGAAAGCGTTCTGCAAAGCCTGAGACCGTAATTGATTCTTTACTTCAGTAAATGTTACAGAATTAAGGTTACAATAAAAAAGAGCGATATTCTCATGCCTGGACAGAAATCCTTAATTAAGACTCTGAGGACACCTGTGTAATTCATATAATGTAAGCTGTAAATTATGGAGTGAGTCTGGAAATAGTAATTTTCCTAATAATTCTTAGACTTTGAAGTTTCTGTAACATATAAGTGTGCATAGGTCATGACTGTTGGGGATGCCACGCTATGCAGCAATGCTCTGTGGAAGGAAGGGCGCAGTTCTTACAGAACATTGTGGTTGTATGTGAATGTGTGTCTCTTAGCTTTTACTCAGCTATTGTGTATCTAGATAAGCAGAATCTCAGAGTAGAAGAAAGTCTGTCTTGTTTGCACACAGTGCAAATGCCTGGGGGCTCATCTAAACAGTAACTTCTCCTAATACCTGCAGGTCTGTCTCAGTGCATTCTGACTTTATACTGATGTTCGTTGCATTTAGGTATGAGATGACTGATTTTATGGATCTCCTGTAGAAATTGTATAATTTGACAGCTTTGCAGTTTGCATTTTAAAGGTACAGTTTGAGCATGTGCTTCATCTGGCCACCCTCCACCAGTTTCTCTCACCCTAACTCCACCCACATTAGCCTTTTTTTTTTTTTTTTCACTTTAGCCTTTCTTGTTGTTGCTGGCTTGGTTTCCCTCCCAAAGCTAACACTGACCACCTACCCTAGCTCACACACGTTTTTAAAGGTTTCCCTGGACATACGGCTTACAGACATTCTATTGCTGCATTTTAAGTTTTGATGGAAATGACTGTATACAAATTGAAACCAGTCTCATTTTTCAGAAAATGAAGCTAAACCAGAAGAATACCTTTTAATATTCTTTATATCATTTACATACATAGAAAATACTGTTCTGAGTTTCTTCTGTTGGTTAATCCACTTAGGCCATATTCCTCTCCGAAAAAGTTATATTCAATATATAGTAAAATAAGTTATAATAAATTTTTATAATAAATGTTTTTGCTTTTTTGGTGTTTACTTATAAAACTTATTTTTTTTTTTTGGTTTTTCGAGACAGGGTTTCTCTGTGGTTTTGGTTCCTGTCCTGGAACTAGCTCTTGTAGACCAGGCTGGTCTCGAACTCACAGAGATCCGCCTGCCTCTGCCTCCCAAGTACTGGGATTAAAGGTGTACGCCACCACCGCCCGGCGATAAAACTTTTTTAAGGTTATGAGCTCTTATGCTTCGGAAACCTATCATGCTTTCTAAGTTTGAAATTGTGCGACCACTCCAAGCTCTTGATTACAACGGTTTTGAGACTTCCCAAGTTGGGATTAACTAGGTTAGTATGATTTTAGAAGTTTGGGTAAATAATGGCTTATAATTACAGAGCTGTGTGTAGGCTGTGAATGACTGAGTAGAGGTGCAGCCTGGTGAGGTGATGGAAAATGTGGAGTCTTCCAGAAAGAGAGTATCCTGTATGTGCAGTGTGTGCAGATATGACCGTGGCCACGGTGGCAGTGTCCTCAAGGTAGTGAGTGGCCTGGGTACTGTGGCGCACTGAGCAGAGTGTGTGTCTCAAAGGCTCATGTGAGCCAAGCGTCTTGGTGATGTCTAATTTCTTCATGGTGTAAATTTAACTGTTAGTAATGACAGAATCTTAATTTAACCTGTAAGGAAAATTAATCTATGTGCTTTCATTTTAAAGTCTGTGCTTCTATCATGTAACAGTTTAGTTGGCCTGGAAGGAATATCTGCTGTGAATTAAACTAAAACATTAGAGATGTTGATTCTCTAAGGTGTGTTAAAACCTATAACAATAACAAAATAACTCCATAAAAACTGAAAATATTGAGAAAATTCTCTAAACATCTTAGAAATTTTGTTTGCTTGCTTGTTTCTTGTTTTGAGATAGGATCTCTCGGTGTTAACCCGGGCTGGCCTGGGACTCAGGATTCTTCTGCCTCAGCCTCCAGGTGCTATGATTACAGGTGATGTCCTAACACCAAACAGTGTGTTCATGAAAGCATTTGTTCTGACCAGGCGGACATGGTTCATTTTCTGAAAACCGTGTTAGAGTCTTGCCAGGTTGGGAGGTCCGTTTGAAGACAGTAGGACACCCACTTCTGTCACAGCAGCACTGACTGCTCCTCACTTACTGTGTCTTTGTCCACAAAGGAGGAGTTTGTATTTTTAGTGCTGATTTCTTGAATGGATAAAAATGAAGAACAAACTTGCTTAATGTTTAAAATAAATGTACAGATTTTAAATGAGTGGGACAGACCTGTAAATAGGGTATTGATGAGTATCCTTTTCCCCTTAATTTAAAAAGTAATATTTATTTACTTGAAAGGAACCCTAGTAGGAAGTTGGCTCTGACAGCCAGGCTCTCCACTCTGTCTGTTGTGATGTTCAGGCTTAGCCGAGGGAAGGCTGTGCAGCCAGTGTTTCCCTGACAACAGGATCCTCTCACAAGATGTTTACATTCTGGAGAAGGTGATTTTCTAGTTTGTGTTTTTGGCAGTTGGAATATCAAGGTTGTTTTGCAGGGGAAGGTGTTGCTTCATCTATGACATGGTTTTAAAGTCATGATTACAGTTGTAACGTTTCTGTTTTCATCTTAGGTTTAGAATGTGTCCCATCCTCCTTGCCCCCTTTTAAGGCGTAACACAAGGAACACCCTCTTTCCTATAGAGCTGTGAGTTACGGATGGGCAATGTTTACATTTGCACACACCGTGTCCACCCAGTTTCTCCTCCCTCCTTTCATTCTGAGATAGACTCCCATTAGCCTAGGCTGGCCACAAACCCTCTATGTAGCTCAGGCTGGCCTTGAACTCCTGATCCTCCTCTACCTCCACCTCACAATTGCTGGGATTACATTTATGCACCACTACACCCCAACCCTTCTCCCCCATGTCTTAATATATAGAATTGTTTTCTTCTTTGTTCTTTTTCTTTTAACTACTAGAAAACACAGTTTTTCCTAGTGCCTTTGAGCTGACCCTGCAGTTTTGACTAATTAGAATTCGTGAAAACCTGAGCAGCATTGCTGTATTGCTGTTACCAACCAGGACACAAACTGTATAATAAGTTGGCTGTGTTAATTCAAAAACTACACTTGGGTTGTATTTTATGTATAAATTGTATTTGTTTAAGTTGTATATATCAGTGTTGTGTGCACATGCAGCATGATAAGATGAGAAATAAAATTCCTCCCAATGCCTACTGTCTTTTAAGAGATTTTTATTTTGTTGTGTCTGCTTACACATGTGTGCACCATGTGTGTGCTGTGTGCCTGTGTTGACCAGACAGTGTTGGGTCCCTTGAACTGGAGTTACAGTTATGAGTTGCCATGTGTGTGGTAGACAGGCTAAAGAAGTTCAACATGGGCCTTGAGAAGGTTTGACTTAATGATTACTTTAAAAGAACTTTTTTTTTATTCCAAGTTAACATACAAAGTGACTGCGTGTTGTTTGCCATTTTCAGACATGCATTTCACTAGGCTTTGCTCATATTCATCCCCCTTGCTTGCCTCGGTGGCCCCCTTTTCTACCCAGATAATCTTCTCTCTGCTAGCTTTTATAGAGCCCCCCTCTGTGCCAGACTGCGGCCATCTTCAGGAGTCCAGCTTGGAAAGGAGGTGCAGGGAATGTCACCCCCAACTGGGGTCCCAGCTTCTCCATGGCTGTGCCGATGCCACCATCTCCCCTCATACTTCCCCAGTGAGTCTGAGGCCGTAGACAACTAGGGCAGAATTACTCTTGGTTATGGGAGGGAGGCAATGACTGGGCACTTGAGAGGACTCCAGGACAAGCCCCCAAAAGCAAAGTTCTCTAAAGCCTGATGTCCTCTAGGAATGGATGGCTTCACGGTTTCCTTCTTAAGGACTAAGTTGTTTTATGAGTTTGCATGTTTGCCTGCATCTATGTATGCGCACTGTAAATGCGCCTGGTGCCTACAGTCCCAGGAGAAGGCATCAGATCCCTTAGAACTATGGGTCCTGGAAGCTGAATTCCAGCCCTGCAAGAGCAGCCAGTGCTCTTAACTGCCCAGCCGAGCTGTCTGCATAGCCCTCAAGAATTCTTTCCATTGCTAGATGATCTAATGAATTAGATAATTTAATGAACTAGATGATCTAATGGCCTCCCTATCTCTGGCCTGGCTGACCATTCCCTACTCCTTTCTTTGAGACGAATAGCATTAGTTTGGGGGGAGGCACATGAGTACACCTCGTGTGTGCGTGTGTGCAGGTGCGGTGTTCTTACGCTCCAAGGGACCACTGGTTAGGCCAGGCTGGCAGACCCGGGAGTCCCAGGTATGGTCCTTTTTCTGCCTCCCCAGGCCAGATGCTGCTATGCTCTGCTTCTTAATGGGTGCTGGGCCAAACTTAGCACTTCACTTGCTGAGCTGTCTTCTCAGCCATGTCCCTTCTCCGCTTTTAAGATTTTATTTTTATTTATGTGTTTGGTGGGAGTGAGGGTCGGGAGGTATTTGCCCATAAATGGAATTGCCAGTGGAAGCCAGAAGGGAGCGTCAGATCCCCTTAAGCTGGAGCTACAGACATTTGGGAGCCACACAGCATTGGTGCTGGGAACTAAATGCCAGTCCTCTGGAAAAGTAGTCTGTGCTCTTAACCTCTGAGCCATCTCTTAGGGGCCCCCACCCCAATGCCTTTTGTTTGTTTGAGACAGTCTTGTTTAGCCCAGGCTGGCCTCCAACTCTGTACAGAGACAAGAGTAACCTTCAGCTTCTGATCATCTTGACTCCACCTGATTGCTGAGATCACGGGCAGTAGACACCAAAGGCTAGCTACCATTGCTGTTTCCTGCCCTCATCTTTTCCAGTGAATCACTCAGTTCCATTGTAAAACTAGGCAGTATCTGAATGAGTGGGAATTACCGTGAGCCCAAGTCCAGCAGGAACAGTCCAGGGGCTCTGAAGCCTTTGGGGTCTGAGCTTCAGGCTGAGGGGCAGGGCCTTCAGGCACATTAGTGGACTAGCAGAATTGCTCCTTAAACCGTTTGATTTGCAAAGCAAATCAGGTATTCCGTCTTCCTTCGGAAGCTGAGCCCTTGTGTGGGAAAGTGGAGGTGAAGAGGCTACTTCAAAAACAACCTGTTTCCTCTCAGCATTTATCTTGGGCTTCCTGCGACCCAACCTTCAGGTTACTTTTATCAGTGTTATCAGAACATCGGGCTGTCTTACCCAGACACGGTGTGGCTCTCTGAAGCCTGGGACAGATCAGATGTCCTCCCACACCTGCTCCCCTCCCCCAGCCTTTCAGAGGACTGGGGAAATTTGAGTTGTAATCAAAGGCTGCGTTTCTCCGATTGTAGCTAAGAATTTAACTGGGACTTTACAACTGAATAAAATTTTCTCAGAGTCTGATACCAATCTGAACAAAGAGGATATTGCCTAACCCAACCTAAAAGTGCCAGAGAGGCTGCAGAAACCCTATGCTGGCCTCACTTCTGATCTCCACCTAGAGTCTTGCCCCACCCACCCCCCCTGGACAGGCGGCCTCCGTTCTGTTGTTAAGTTACCATACAGAATGGTTGGTTTCGTTGTAGCACCCTCGTGCTCAAACACCGTCATAATGTGATTAATTACCATCATCGCCCTCTCTCCTTCTCCATCCTTCCTCCGAATAGTCCTGGCTTATGCTTCTCACAGGTCACCCCACCCCTGTAGGTCCCCCCTCCCTTAATTCCCTTTCACTTTACACATGTGCACACACTCTGAATACACACAGATTTAAATCCAGATTCTGCATAAAATGGAAAAATTTGTATCTGGCTTTATTTTGCTTAACATAATCTCGGGCTACATCTGCTTTCTGTAAACACCATGATTTCATTCTTCATGCCTAAGCATGAATCCACTGTGTGTCCGAACAGCATGTCCTCTATCTGTTTATCTGTCGGTAGATATCTTGGTTCCATATCTCCATGCTTCACAGAGCAACAACAATCGTGAATGTACGAGCGTCCCTGTGGTGTGCTCACTCACAACCCTCCCAGTTAATAGTAACTGAAGCACGCAGGAGACCTGTGTTTAGTTCTTTGGGCACCTCCACATCAGTTCCCACAGTAGTGTCTAAGTGTCCTGGGTAAGTGTACCTTGGGACTGGGGAGATGGCTCAGTGGGTAAGGACACTTATGGAGTAGGCATGCCGACCTGAGTTCCCCTCACCAGCACCCACACAGAAGCCGGGTATAGCAGCTCCAACCTGCCCAGAGCTAGGTGGAGACAGGTGGATCTGGGGCACTCGCTAGCCAGCCAATCTACCCTATAGGGTGAGCTCCAGGTTAAGTAAGATCCTGTTTCAAGAAGCAAGATAGTCGGAGCAATGGTTCAGAGGGTAAAGGGGTTTGCTGTGCAAACCTAACAGCCTGAGGTCAGTGTCTGGTACTGACCTAAAGGAGGGAGAGAGGACTAACTGTTCTTCAGCATGTATGCCATGCTGCACAGGTACACACAGGCATCCACTCACACCCACTTAAATGCATACATACGGGCATGCACTCACACACTCGCATGCGCACACACATTCAGAAAAAGAAAGATAGTGATTGAGAAAGACACATGCAATTGTCTGGCCTTCACATTGCAATGTAAAGTCACATGCCCATATGTACTTGTGTGTATGCGTACACACACACACAGAGGTAGTCTGGAGAGCTAAGGTGGGAATATAATGGTCTCAGGGTGGGAGACCAAGAGGGCTGGGGGTACTCTACTGTGCAAAAGGCCCTGGGTTCAATCCCTAGTACAGCAGGAGGAGGACTCTTAAACCTTTCTTTTCTTTTTTAAGAGAGGCCAGTTCAAGAGATGTCAGCCATGACAGTTACTTAAGGAACTACAGTGCCCAAGAGTGGAACCCTACCTCGTGTTGAATAAATTAACCCTGCAAGTTAACAAGACATCGGCCCCAAGATGCAAGACAGCCCCTACCTGCCCTGGATGGAGATTGACAGAGCTGAGCCCCTGACCTGTGTGTTGAAGGAGCATGACACGCCTCTTCCACAAGGAAGCTGGCTGCTGCATTTTGCTTTGAGCTGCCCCATCCTTGGAGGATCTTGATACTGTGGGATACCACCTGAGAGGACAGGTGCAGGCAGACAAAGGAAAACCAAGGTCACAGGCAATGGTGCAAAGAGAGCAAAAAGAATCCCAGGAGCCGGGCAGTGGTGACGCACGCCTTTAATCCCAGCACTCGGGAGGCAGAGGCAGGCAGATCTCTGGGAGTTCGAGGCCAGCCTGGTCTACAAGAGCTAGTTCTGGGACAGGCACCAAAGCTACAGAGAAACCCTGTCTCAAAAAAACCAAAAAAAAAAAAAAAAAAAAAAAAAGAGAATCCCTGGACCATTTTTTAGATTACGTTTATTTATTTGCATGTGCGCATGTGTGTGCATGAGCATTTAGGGACATCTGTATGCAACAGCACCTGTGGCGACCAGAGGACAGCTTGTGGAAGTCAGTTCTCTCCTCCTACCATTTCGATCCTGGGACCAAACTCAGGTGTTTAAGCTGGGCCGTCTTGACTGGCACATCCCATGGCATTCTTATTAGAGGCCAACATTTCTTAATGCACCCCCAAAAGTGTTGCACACAAGACACAGCTATATGGTTTTGTTAGGCATTTATCCGCTAGGTACTGATTACCCATTGCCAAGTGCCAGTTAGAGATAACCTATCCAGTGGTTGAGGGCAAAGCAGTGAGGATAGGGACAATGGGAGAGAGCCGATGGTACCATCTTCGCTGTCAGTGACAAGGTACAGTCCACCGAGCAGGCGCTGGCTGTGGCTAGGTAGCCTCTGTAACTGCTCCGATCACAAGCCCCAAGACTTGCACTTAATCCTGAAGTTTCTCCTCGCGTGTGTTTTATGTCTGTCCTTAGCCTGTGTTCTCCTCTTCTCTTGGTCCCATCAGAGGATCCAGAGTCCAGCCCCTCTGTTCGAATGCAAGCAAGAATGTTAGTATGCCCTGACCATCTGAGCTCCCTGTGTGATCGACTGACCTAGAGCCAGTGTGTGTCCTGTGGTCTGATATAAGTCTTTCTTTTTGACAGCCTTTCCTTTATCATCCTGGCCTCATATACCAAGTGCAAACCCACAACTCATATCCTGTGGCAGACACAGCTCACGTTAGGTAGCACATGCAAATGAGTTTCAATCAAAGGAGTAAGGAAATTAAAATTGTCACTGTGCATCTTCCCCA